GATTTGCTTTTGGCGCGTACAAATCACACACGCTTACCGAATACGAAATGAGCAGCAATATTTTAAAAACTTAAACAATCTCCACTAACTGGTGGGAACGACAACCAATGGAGGCAACTGCACCCTACGCGAGTGTTTGGTAAGAGATTTAGCGGCTTTTGGGGAGAATATTAAATGGAGATTTGGATGAATCACAGCATGAGGTAAACATTTGGTAGTTGAGAATTTGAAAATCTATTAAAAGCAATATCATACGAATGTAAGTTCGGTAGCGTTGCCAAAACAATTAAACTTTTTATATATTTTTTTTTATGATTTCAATTTTTTCTGTACTCTTTTAACATTAATAAATAACTGCTAAAAAAAAATCGATGGTAAAAATATTTCTTGTTTTTTTTATCGGGTCCGAAAAAGAGCCTAAAATTCGGGCTTCTAAGCCAGAATACCCCCTTAAGAAATGCGTTTATTCGGAAATTTCAGTTTATTATAAATCTGTCCTGTTGTTTTTTTTTTTTTAATTCAAAAAATCTAGTCTCTTCGGAAGTCTGCTTACGTTATTTTAACACGGTTGTCACGGTTCCATATGTAGTTTTAGTACCCGTTTGGTAGACCTTTGACTAAACTTCTCAGTTCCTGTTCGTGAAATGGAGTGGCGCCTCCGTTCGACTGATGAATTTTTTTAGAAGTCCCGCTCAGGTGGTGTGGGTTCTTCTGCTTATGACCGATCAGTTTGAAAAGTTATGCTCCAATTTCGAATATTTTTAAACGAGAATTGCCATATATATTATTAGTTAGTCTATAACTATATTCGTGATTCGTGCGTTTTGCCAATAGATGGCGTAACGTTATTCTATATGAACTTTGTTAATCAATAAGTGTTTTTGCGGGGAGTACTTCTTCATTATTTTAACATAGAAAAGCCCAGCAGGAAGTTTATGGTGAACATGGTCTAGCTGAGTGAATGTGCCAAAAGTGGATTGCACGATTTCAAAGTGGTGATTTTGGCTTCGAAGATGAAGAAGGTTCTGAGCGGCAATAAATTTTGAAGCTGAGGAACTAGAAGCATTACTCGATGACGATTGCTGCCAAACACAATAAGATCTCGCGAAATTTTCGGCAGCCATTTTAAATTGTTTCAAAGCACTGGGAGAACTTTAAAATCAAGGAAATCGGTTGCCATATGAAACGTTGAGAGACAAGTTTGCATGTCGAAAATGGTGATTGAAGGCTTTAAAAAGATCACGTTTTTCATCGGAATGTGATTGATGATGATAAATGGATCCATTACGATAAAACTAAATTCAGAAGTCATATATGAAACCCTGGCCAACCAGCCAAATCAGCGGCAAAGCCGAAAATCCATGACGCCATGGCATTGCTCTGTATTTGGTGGGATCAGAAGGGCGTGCTATATTATGAGCTTCTAGAACCAAGTGAAACCATTAATGGGGAACGCTACCAAAACATCTCATCAAATTGAAGCGAGCGATTTCCGAAAAACAACCGGGATTCGCGACTAGACTCATCGCTCATCTTATAGCCCAGACCTTGCGCCTTCTGACTACCATCAAATTCGTTTGATTCATTCTTGGCCGCCAAGCTGGCGTAATTCTTTTGGGATAGAATCCAAAAATTGCCAGAAATATAGAAAAATGTTATACTTGTAGCAATACTTTGAATAATAATATTTGCCATCTTTATCTTAAAAAAACGTTCAATTTTTGAAGAAAAGTTCAAACTAAAAAAAAAAAGCGCACGAATATAGTAATAGGCCCAGTATATATGAGGAATTAGTTATACTAAATTTTATTTAGATATTTTTATTGGTGCTTGATTAAGCTATTGGGAAGTAAACTAATCTAATGGGACTTAAAATAACGTCAGTTTACTGACAAATAAAGAAGTATTTTAGTATTTTAGTTTCCTTCGTCTATTTCCGGGTAAAAATGGATATAAAAATCAATTTGTATTGTTAAGAAACAATAGCAAAAATACCGATTACCTAACAAACAACAACGCTGCTTATAATTAGCATATAAAATACGGTATTAATTATATAATATGCTACAATGTAAAAACAAAATAAATATATATTCGTACATATTATTTATTATTAGGTTGCTCATACTAAAATTAGAATAACAAAAGTGTTAAGTCATTAAATAAAATATATAATTAAATAAATACTAAAAGTACATTTGAACGAATACACATACACACACACAAATGCAACTCTGCACATCCCCATTTATTGTTTTAGGTAATAACAAAAATTTGCTCAGTCATTAAATTGGAAAATGTGAATCTCTGTTATTTCCGAACAATTTGAAAGCGATCTTACGTAGTTATAGTTTCTATTATAAGCAAGAGAGTACAAAAAATTACACAATTTTGAATATAATTACTTGTATTTCTATTTAGAAAGGCACTAATTCAATTACTAAAACATACAGAAGCATATATGTGTATATACTTGCTGTTAGGTACAACCGGGAACAAGGGAATCCCCACGAAGTAGCTTAAAGCAACTAACTAAAGACTGCAAAGTAATCAAAATGACAACTTATCAAAGTTGACGATCAAAAATAGTTGAGAGTAAATTATGACAGAGTTTTATGCAGATTAATGTCTTAATTTCTAGTTTGTAGCATAAACAGCTACAATTAACCGTTATTAAGATATTTAACAGACATATCAACCGCCTTTAAGCTATTAATAACCATAAACTCTGCAATTTTGTCATCAATTTCCATTACACTTTGACATGTAATAAATTATAGACTGAAATAAATGCTCAATTATTTGAAGAAAACCCGCTCAAATTATCTTTGCCTTAACCACAAAACGGATACCAACGCCAATGACCGCATCGATTGGTCAACATTTCAGAATATCAGTTATTTAGCGCAGTGAATAGTAATATAAACAAATATTATTTCAACAAACACACACATTTACCAAAGATTCTCAATTAATTGACCCCAGTAGGAAATGTAGAAACTTCATAATGTTTTAGCTCTCTGAAGGAATACATTCAATGTGTTCAATTTATTTGCCTACTCCAATTCTTTATTAAAAATTAAAAAATCGTCATATGGCAATGCTACAAAAAATAACGATTTTTAATTGATTCATCATTAAAATCTTTAATATTTTAATAACTTATCTTTCTCTTTTAATTTGACTAATTATTTCTATTAGTAAGCTTTTTAGAAATATGGCAACCTTAAAACTTAAAATTATTTTTTATACAGAACTCAGCTAATTCAAAAATGTTATATATTTTTTAATATTTAACATATTTTGTTTCTCAGTAGTTAAATAAATTTTAGAGAAGTGGCAACTCTGAATCGAAAATTACAGTTTGCGGCAACCTTACGTTAAGTTGAATTACGTTAAATCGGTCGCACAAACAGCTTTAATGAAAACGTTTATACTTTAAGTGCTTTATGATTGCCCTTCCCTGTTGGGCCTTTATAAGTCCAGTAGCCTGCCGATGAGAATATCTGCTGCGATGACGCCACGACGTTTTTAACGGATTTCCCCAGTCGACAACATGCAAGGAGAAATTATTTTATGAGTGTTAGTAATGGCTCCAGCGCAATTGAGTGCTGAACAAGTGAGCCACCTGTCAATTAATTGTTAGTACTTGTGATTGTTTGACTATAATTTAAATAGTGGGATACTCACAAATATCGTAGATCACAGAGTTGACGAGGTATACGCTACAGTCAGTATTTGAAAACAATTAGATTTTAAACGAAGTACAATATATTACATTGATAAAAGATATAATAGCTGCCCTTTTTACAAGGTTGATTGGAAGAAGATGAGGTCGCATTATCTCAAGACCGCTTTCTTGACCTCTGCTGCTTTCGAGATAATAAAGTTGAAATCTCTGAGATCTCATACCTTTGGCCATCCAGGTGAACTAGTTCGAATCGTAGTCAATGGTTTTAAGTTGTTTTGTCGATACATAAGAGATTAAGTCAGACTTTAGGAGTTTTTGTAATAACCAAGACTTGGTATTAACTAGTTTCATTTTGTTCTCAGAATTTTTTTTCAGGTTTGATATTTAAACTTTGACATATCTGACAACCATTAAACTTTGACTTAAGTCGTTATAAATAAGACGGTCTTCAATTTCTTTGTATTGTTTGCAATAATCTCTGACCTATGTAGAGTGTAACATGATCAAATATCAACTTGCTTATTCACGGAGCTCTAATATAATGAATTAATTGATTTTAGTTCAAAAACTTATGAAACGGAATTTCTACAAGTCTTAGGTGCGTGTCACATATTATTAGTAGTCTATTACTAATTCCAAAAATATGCCATTGCAATATTCATTTCCCAGCAGTAAAATTGTCTCAAATCATCTGGGTTCTTATCTGATCTTCCATTTGTGGGTAGCTCACCTCCAGCACTCGTTTGGATATACCACTCATTAATTCGTTCCACGTCACTGAACGATAGATCAGCGAAGACGACACAGGCATGGTAGACAGAAGTGCAGGTGATGAGAAGCTTCAGCGTTTCATACTATACTCCGTTTGAGCTGAGCTCTGACGGTGTGAGTTGAGCGCTGACGGTGTACGAGACGCCGACGACAGTGTCGGCACCCGCACTTTACTTTTTAGTATTCTTTTTTAGATTTATATTTTTGTTTTGATTTTGAATTGAAATCAGAAGCTCACGATTCTGACGGCTTTTCCACCACCACCATACCCTTACTCCCAGAGCTGACAAAATTGAGTATAGCGAATCGAGCGTGTACTTGGCGGCTCACACATGTTTAGAATAAAATTCCCAAATGATTAAGTATAAATGCGCTGGAACTCACATCCAGACAAATCAGTCGTTAAAAAAATTGACAAGCGTTAAGTAAAGGCGACCGACGGAATAGAATTTCGACGGATTTCGCGGAATTAGATAAGAGAAATTTTCACTCGAGTTAAAGGACGCCCGTTCGTTCGTTGGATTGACGAGTGCACGCTATGAAGCGTTTAGTGATTTGCATATTATTGCTGGGCATCTGCCATGCCACGCCCACCTTACATAAACTGAAAGAGTTTAAGAACTCTTTGCTTTTCGGTAGAGGTGGCGGAGGCTGCGGCGGTGGCTGTGGTGGTGGTGGTTACGGAGGAGGTGGATTTGGTGGTGGTCACGGTGGCTATGGCACCCCCAGCATTCAAGTGTACGCCGTGAAGCAAGTGCCTTCGTATAGCAGCGGTGGTTATGGAGGTGGCGGATATGGCGGATATGGCGGAGGAGGTGGTGGTTTTGGCGGTGGTAGTAGCGGCTGCGGCTCTGGTGGATGCGGTGGCGGTGGTGGCTTCGCTCCAAGTTATGGCGGCAGCGGTGGTGGTGGTAGCGGTTGTGGTCCTGGTGGCTGTGGCGGCGGCGGCGGTTTTAAACCCAACTATGGAGGTGGTGGTTTCGCGCCAAGCTATGGCGGCGGCGGTGGCGGTGGCGGTTTCGGCGGCTCTTATGCTTCCAGCAGTGCGAGTAGCTTCAGCTCCGCCAACAGCGGCGGTTTCGGTGGTAGTGGTGGATATGGTGGCAATGGCGGTTATCCAAGTGGTGGTGGCGGCTATGGCGGTCATCCAGGTGGTGGTGGCGGTGGCGGTAGTTGCAATACATGTGGTGGAGGTGGTGGCGGTAGCCCCGGTGGCTATGGTGGTTATGGTGGTAACGGTGCTTATTCCAGCGCACAGTCCTCCGCAAGTGCTCACTCTAGCTCATGGGGAAAGTGAAGAGTCGCCAGTAGTTAAGTGTTGAAATTGAAAGCCTAGATCTAAACATTTACGAATTTAATTAAACGAATATACTTGTTAATAAAGATAAAGATTGTTTTTAAGTGATATGTGACATATTTTAGAGAAATAAAGCAGTTTTTATTTAGAAAGTAAGTGATTCCTCAATTTGCAAGGCATAACAAAATCGGTCTCAAATGTTTTGTCTTAATTTGTGATGGAGCCAAATGTCCACAACGGTGTGTTAATTGAAATAAGTGACATGTGTTTGAGTTTTAGGTATATATTATCAGGCATTAGTCTGGTATTTTCTCTAAGTCTCAACATTTTTGGTTCATGTAATGGTTACCGCCGATGCCTTGAATCTGATGGATACGGAAGTAATTCGAAGCCCGACGAAAGAGATTTTGCCATAATCTTTCCTCGATTTCTTCCTTTAAATGTTCCAATAATACTTTTGAATAGTCACTGTTGATAGTTTGTATCTTTTCAAAAATATACACGACAATAAGTCTGTCAGCTGATTATTATAGCTTTCTTATTCTATAGATTCAACTCGGATGACTATCAACTGGAGATTAAAGTATTGAAGTCATTTTTCATGCGATCGTCGAACTCAGCTTTATTACAATTTAAAAACTCCAAAAATGTTCAGATTCAACAATTCGCTGTTGGTTTTGGTCGATTTTGAACTCAATCAATTTAATTTTACAGTCATCCAAAATTATTTTGAGGTTTCTGTACTCAAATTAGAACACCACTTCTGAATGGTTGCTTCGCCTGATGTAGAGCTCATAAACCACTACAGAAGTCTTTGAAAATTATAAAAAAAAAGAAATGTATTCATATTAAGTTGAAGCCTATAGAAAACGAAAGATCGAATAACAGTAAAGGAAAAATATTTTACGGGCGGTCTGAGACAAGGTAGGGGAGGGCCGTGGTTGAATTTTTAAAGGTTATATGAAAATATCTCTCAGAAAAGAACCTCAAAATTTATATGAAAAAAAGTCAAACAACCAAATTTTTCGGTTTTTTATTTTTATCTTGTACAAAAAAAATTTTTTTTTCACAAAATTTGGTGCAAACTTAACATCTTATGTCGCAAACTCACGGTATTTTTTTTTTAGTTAAAAGATTTATTTTTTCTTTTTATATTGACCAAATATCGAAAAAAAAAAATAATTTTCAATCAAATTTAAATTTAATTAAATTTAGCACAGGGTGTCTCATAAGGAATATATATAAACATATACTGCCACAGAAAGAAGAGAGAGAGCAACAGAAGGCAAATTTGAATTCAGGACTTAAAGTCTTAAATTTGTAAAAATATAAATCTACTATAGTGAATTTTCCTAATGATTATAATAATAATAATAGTTAAGGGAGCAATAGGTATAGTTCTGCAAAAACCTTTAAATTATGGGAAATATTTTTAAAAATTATTTACTTTACTTGAGAGTTCGTTCACTAGATAATGCCATGCGCATATCTTGAGTATTCCAAATAAAGTCGAGCAAAATAACGATTTTCGAAAGTTGTTTAAAAAACGCAAACAAAATCCACTTACAATAATGCAAAATAATGCGTGGTTAAACGTTTTGCGCATGGGCAACTGCATTGCATACGACGCGCTGCACCACACACTATTCACACATATTTATAGCCATGCCCTACACAACGAACATGTGTCACTCGCTAATCGTATTGACATTACTCACGGTCTCGGCTGCACATTGTTGTAATACTTACAAATTCAACTTTCGTCTTCACTCAACGGCATTGAACTTCACTGACCCTACAAAATCATCATTGCATATGGAAAAGTTGCGTCCATGACTGCATGAAAGCGAAACCCGTCTTTAAGTTGATGTTGAATGAAACCAAAAACAGTTACTACGGCATACATACATGCAAACTCTGAAGGTTTTGGTATAAAATCATATATGGCTTAAAGTAAAGTTGCTTTAGACCAATTGCGAGCGAATAAAATGGAAGAACTGAGCTTTAAAGCACTAGCAGAGGCATCTAGCGTCAACTTTTGTGAGCAAAAAGTTTTTTTTTAAGCTTTTTCAAAAAAAAATCGATCGTTTTGTTCAACTTTGTGCTGCCAAACTCAAAGATTAAAATTCGGTGAAGACTTGTCCAATAGAACGTTATTTATGTTTAGATTTTTTCAAAAGCCATCTCCGGTCTTCTAAAAAAACAGCTTATTGGTAGTGACCCTGAAAATATGTCTAAATTTCAAATCGAATTTAATAATAAGAAATATACCAGAATAAAGCGAATTTGGAGTCGGGTATCATCTCCAAATTCACGCTGTATTATTTCTTGCAGCTCTAGGGACACTACTTGCTCCCTGAAACAAAAAAATATCTGCTCAATGTTGATAGATGGACTTGAATTATAGACAGTTTTCATTTCCGATCTTTCTAAAATACTCGGTGAAACACGGAAAAGAAAATAGTCGGATAGAACTAAACAATAAATTTCAAGTTTTAGTCGATCATATTCTAACAAGCTTTTTGATAAACTTCAACTAGAAAGGTACTATTTTTTAACTGTTCCGCAATCTCCTGCGTGTTCCCACTCTATGTTGCACACGATTTTTAAATATTCGCCTTTATTCATGCGGATTGAAGATCCTCTGAAACTGTTATGAATAGCCTTCAAGTTTTGCTTAAGTTCAAGTGAATACGGTTACCCTCGTATTCCAACTTTACTTAAATAATGTGTGTAAGTATGAAGTAAGTCGGGTTTCACTACTCCATGGCTGTTGAGCTTTTCGATTCTCAAGTTTCCTACCCAACGCAAAACTTTTAACTTCGCAACCTTCCAGCTCCATGTAGACTATGAAATATCTCCAGTAGTAGTACAACTACTACTAACTGAATATAACGCTTACTTAAATAACTTTGGTTTCACAAAACTCTTAGTGGAAATCTCAAAGCATGAATTAAAAACGCTTTAGCCTTTCGGTAAACGAAACATTATTGCAAATATTTATTCTTGGCTTTCTGAATTACAGTGTTTACTAAAAGCTTTTCTGATATATCACAGTCAGGGCATCGCACTAATTCTTCCACCAACCAGCTGAACTGGCTGAGCCAGCTGAAGCGCTACTACCAGCAGAATAACCGTAACCTGATTTACCGCCGGCGCCGCCAAAACCACCTAATCCAGCGCCGCCACTATAAGCACCACCACCATATGCACCTGAACCAGCGCCACCATTACCAGCACCGTATGAGCCGTGATTAACGTTGTAGTCAAAGTTAGCTGGTATACCCCAATCAGCGTGAGAGCTGCCAGCAGCGCTGCGACCATATGAAGAGGCACCATATAAAGAGACACCGCTACCATAACCACTACCGAGTCCAGCACTGCCAAAACTAGGTCCATATGCTCCACCTCCTAAACCACTGCCGCGACCAACACCGCCACCATATGAACCCGCACCACCGCTACCCAAAGAATTTCCGGTATGGAAGGAAACACTGGAGGTACCGCCGCCATACAAACCACTATTTCTACCACTACCATGTACACCGCCGAAACCACTGCGGACCCCGTAACCACCAGCTCCACCCAAAGATGCGCCGCCACCATAAACGTTAGCACCGCCTAAGGCACTACCAGCATTTTTCCAGCCGCTACCGCCACGTCCACCGCCTTTGCCAAAGCCGCCGCTATAGCGCACGGCTCCGCCACCAAAACCACCACCTGACGAATGTGCAAACGCACCAGAGCTGGCATGACTGGAAGCGCTTGCAAAGCTACCCTGGCCGCCAAAGCTACCACCGCTAAAGCCACCACCGCCGCCGCCGCCTCGTGGCAGATAACCACCTCCTGCGCTGACTACCACCAAAGAGGCTAAAATGCAGACGAAAACCTGCAGTCGAAGAAAAAAATGTTAGTCCTTGTATCCAGCGAATCTAGACCTTAGTTTGTTCAGTACTCACTTTCATTGTACTATTGCTTCACGGAGACTTCACTGTTAGAACTCGATTGTGTAATTGTTGCCAAAACGCAGAATGCCATTGATTTTTATAGAGGAAACCTCCTCCACTAACGAACTAATGATGTTCTACAAACTGGGAGGAAAAAAATATTGGCAAAGCTCAGGCTAAAAAATTAATTGCAGAATATTACCAAAGAAAGGAAAGCATAACGAAAACAAAAAGCTATCAGTACAAGTAAACATGTCCAAAAGTAAGACATAAACGTATTCTTGCAATTCTCGATTTCCTTATTCCAAATGCTCGAGTGCCTTGTTCGGTATTTATTTTTAGACAAGGTCTTTTGTTTTCTTCTCTTACTCAATTTCGCGGTACACTTCTTGCTTGGCTAAATTATCAGTATTGTTCATATCATAGTACGCCCGTACGCCACATTGGCGTTAATTTGCCTCCACTTATCGTGAACAAATCAATCGATCATCGATCGTTACTGAACTTCTGCTGACATAATGAACGCGGATCATCCTTTGCCGCTAGCGTTCGTCAATACTTCAATACCAGTTTGTTACATTCTTATATATTTCTAAATATTTATACATGCCCTGTAGGAAAACTAATACTAGTGCTAAATTGATTCTGGTTTAATATAGTAATTTCATATTATAACATATAACGTTTCATCTTGCTATAACGACATCGAAAACCTCGGAGATATTTATGAGAATGGTTGCCACTTGTTTGGAAACCTATATATAGAGCTTCAGTTATATCGATTAAAACCGTAATATTGTATACTATATATTGTCCTGCCACGATTTAGACAAATATAAAATCGCTTGATTATTTCGAACTTTCCTACAGGGTTCATTTCTTTGCCTATTTAGTATTTAGCTAGACGGAAAATCCTATCATTATGCGCAAATCACTTCACTTAATTGAACAAGTGTTCATTTCGATTTCATCAAAAGCCAGCAATTATTCGTTTAGTAATGATTGATAGTTAAGAATAATAAATAAAATAAGACAATATTAAAAAAAATAATATAAGCAAAATACTATTTTTGTATTTATAAAAATAGGGTAATTTTATGAGTCATATCTAAAATGAACCGCCACTTTTCTCTCCAAGAAGCTGCTTATTTGTTTGCACCACCGCACCACTATAGCATATAGCTGCCCTACAAACTGAACAATCCAAATAAAGTCCTTGTATGGAAAACTTTTTTCTTTGACAAAATATCTTCACGAAATTTGGCATGAATTATTTTCCAAGGTAATGCCACAATCTCCGTATAAATTTTTCAGATTGGACGACTATAACATATAGCTGTCATACAAACCGACTATTCAAAATCAATATAAAGATCTTTTTATACCCTTTTATGTTATAAGAAATGCACCTATGATGGGTATTATAGCTTCGGTATAGCCGAAACTACATTTTTTTCTTTTTTTCTTTCTTTCTTACTAAATCTACTTTGAAGTAATTAAAACTTATCACTCATCATTGTAGCTGGAGCTAAATGTGCAATGATTTAATTAAGCAAAGCTGTCTGCGACGACTCGTTAAAGCAAGTTTGACTGATTATACTCATAAATTTACAAGTTTTTAAAGACTACATTACTTAAGAACTTTGCTTAGAAAAAAAATTTTACTATTGTAGTTAAATACTAATTACCTCTAAAGCTTGTTATGAGCAATTAAAGTTTTATTTGATTTAAAATATTGTGAGCGTTCTATTGTAAGTATACACATATAACTAAAAATTGTAATAAAAAAGAGCTAAAAATACCTACCGCTACTCATAGAACTAGTAAATTTATTTTTCAAACAGCTGGCAATCCTTATTAATAGTATTTTCTACTGTGACCTTCCTTTATCCTCTTCTGCTTTGATGCTCATATTGTAATGATTGCTTAATGGAACTAAAAACTTCAAACAACTGGCAACCCTGCTCAAAAAATAATCTAAGCTTAAACTTTCTAAAACTACTACACTTTGCGGTGTTTTCCTGTTTATTAAATTGTATTAAATAAAATCTTCAAACAGGTAGCAGCCCTAAAAAATACAAATCATTTATGCTCTAATTTTATTACAATAGTAGTAAAAGTAAATACAATAAGCAATCAGCTCCTATTTATCTAACCGGTTATTACATAATTACATAATTTTCCTAAATAATACGAGTATAGAAAAAATATATATCTCAGCGGCAAAAAAAGTCAAATCATGAATATTAAATTAAACATCATAATTATTAAAGTAGTGGTCGGTGGTGTCTACATACGCTTTCTGTTTTGCTTTTTTTTTACTTCATAAGCAAAATCATTGTTATTTGTTGATGTTATTTTATTTTTTTAATTTAGTGTTTTTTTCCTGTTTTGGCTTGCTTACTATTTATTCACATTTCGGGGGTTTACTACAAAACGGTCCCATCATCTTCATCACGGCTACATAGCGTGAGTTTTTAGCCCACTATTATGCGTCGGCCTAGCAAAATTTACCAAAGAAGTAAGGAGAGGCTACATAAGGACGCAGCCAAATATTAGACACTCTTAATAGATTAAGACGGGGATTCGAAATATGAAATATAGATGAAGTTATAGCATGAAGTCCGACCATTTTGGATCAAAGTTGCCACTTATCAGAAATTCATCCCATATGTCTTATATTGGTAGTGATTACGCCCGTTTTTAATATGCATACAATGAATGTTCAAATCTGGCCGGATGCTAATTGTCGTAATGGTTTGTGGAAAAACAAGGTATATATATAGGTATAGTTTTGGCGGGACTAGGTTTGAAAAGTCTGGGATCTTACAGCTGTAACCATCCAGCCGAGCTATCTGACAAAAAATCAATCGCCCAACCAAACTTATTATGGATTCAAGCTTTTTTGTCGACACATGGCGGCTAACGGTTGTCTGCGATGACAAAAAACTTATCTTTAGCTGTTCAGCTATGATCCACTGGATCAGCATTATAACGTGACCGAAATTTATCGTATAAATCCTGCTTTTACCTTTAACCTTTCTGGTATTGAAAAAGTTAGATTTAATTAGAGTTGGGGCGTGGTTATTATCAGATTCCTGTCATTATCACTGTGTAGTATGAAGTGATGTAATGCAATGTTCCGGATATCGATTCGCCTCATCATCCTGATGACCATAACCCAATACCAATCTCGTTTACAACCGTGAGGTGAACAAAACTATAATACTTTCAGCAATACCTTGCGAGAGTGCAAAGCAAAAAAGCAGCTGCCGAAAGCACAGTTGTGGGGTGCCGAAAATTGATGATGTGGTAATATCAACTTGACATGCGATGTTGCAATATTTGGTTTCACATTCTTCATTTTATTTCTGTTGTATAAATACATAAATACACACTAGCGGTACCTTTACCACATACATCGCATACATTCAAAATGTATAGAAAATTTCAAGTAGGCTTAAGTTTTTTTTTTTCTTTATGCTGCTTTGCGTGCGCCTAACTATATTTTGGGCATTTTGAAAGATTAATTTTGTATAAATTAATAGGCTTAGTGATTTTATAACATTTGTTAGTCGGTATATTTTGTGTTTATACTTCAACATATGAACCTTAATGACTTTATGACATATTTTCCTTCACGCAGCTGGTTCAAGATACTGTTAGCCTAACTTATTAAGCTCTATTAATTTTTTAATTGACTTTATTAAATTCGTTTCAATACTCAATGGGTGTTCACTCACTGCATATTTCACATTCCCTTGATTAGGCTTTAGTTACAATATTTATGTTAAAAGCTTAGTCTTATGTGCCAATGAGATTGATATAGCTTGAACTAACTAAACTAGTCCAACTTGGGTTATTAACGCCTTTATTTATAGTCTTGCCATAAATTTTGTTACAAAGTTTACAATGCATACAGTGAAAACAAATTCAAAAAAAGTGCCGTTATTTTTTATATTATAAATGCAGTGTCAACTAAGCAGCTTCTTCAGTGGCACATGGACAACCGACATGAAAGTTTCTTTTACAGATGAAACAATTGCCACCGTTGAGTAAATTTTGTTGACAAAAATTGTATTTCAAGGGTTCAAAGTGGTCACCATTCAGCTATTAAAATGGTATGGTGGGGAGTCTCCTTTTCAGGCTTTGGACCGCTTCACATCTGTGACACAAGGGCAAAAGTGTACCAGCATTAGAAGGCGTGGTAAAGCAGTTAGATTCTGCTTCACCACACAAGGCAAAAACCACTCAGCGCTGGCTTAGAAGTAATAATCATACATATTCAGTCAAACTGTATTATTGTTTCCTTTTTATGATGGCTTGATATTGTAACAGAACTTATGGCAGAACTGTGTAAATTTTCTGCAGAACCTTTCGTTGAAACACACTAAGGACATTCTTATTCTAAAAATATAATATTAGTTAGTCAACGTCAATCGGATGCTAGATAAAGCAGTTCCCAAGAAAGTAGGGTCGGTCTAACTAAGTGGAATGGACCCGGATTTAGAATCAGTCAAAAGTTGTCACCTAGGAATAACTCTTAAATCCAGTTGGGGAATATTTTATACCGCTACAGCAATAAAAGATGGCAGATATATACCTATATGGTATCCACTTTTTGATATTTTCACCCAAATTAGTCCTGAGCTGTGCGAACTGTAGAAAATAGAGTGTTCATCAAAACTATCACCGCACACAACAAAACCAAAGATTGCGTACTCGAAGAGAACATTATTTTTTTGTATTTACGGTAAATTAGATATAAGACCTTAAAATAACCGAACTTAAATGAACAGCTGTTTCTAACAAATAAAGATATTTTGTGGAAGCCCCTTGCTTAGCAAGCGACAACCTACTCAGATTAAAAGTTAACATTGTTTTCAAAATTATTTTTATTTTTTAGTTTTCAGTTTATAGTTTTATATAATAATAATATTAATAGTAAATACCTTGAATAATTTCGCAACATTTTCGATTTGCCATTTTTATTGTTTTTGTTAGCACTAAATTTGTATGACATTATGCAATTCTCATTCTCGTATTTCTCTATTGGCTTTTCTCTGTTTCTTTAAGTGTGCCGTTTTCTTTTCTTTAAACAATCGAAAATTGAATATGCAATCGACTTCATAAATATTCATTGCTACCATGGAGGCCATAATTTATATGCATCGCTTAGAGCTTTATTTATAATATTTAATTTAATTTTTTTGCTTTGAAATCGCGAATTATTAGTGCTGCTCAATTTTTTTTTCTCTTCTATTGAAATTTGCTGCGGCTTTAGAGCTCTCTTTCACGACTCTAAACATGTTGAACAGTGTGTTTTTAAGTGCTTTTTTATACTTTTGAAAACCTGCCATAAAAATAGAACTTGGATTCTTTTATATTTGTAATTACAAATTTATGCCTAGGCAATACCTACGGTGCATTCATCATGCTGTAATATAAATATTTGACTAATATTTATAGTGTTTCCGATCGTAGTTTAATAAATTCAAGTTCGGTTGTTTACAATTTATATTCGCGTGATATCGAACCACGCAGCCTCTTTATACTTACTTGTTTCTGACAAGTCCAACAATGATTTTTACATCGATGAGTAGACCAGGCACTTTTTTGTATCTCCATATCTCTAAAAGAGCCGGTAATTCTAGCTTTAGCCTGGAAGTACAGGAGTACATGCATGCTGCTTTATGGGTTACGTAAAATGTCATTTTCTACCGTTTTATTGGTATCAAATTTAACAATCCATAATTTCCACATTTCGTGGCATTTTTCCTAAGGATATACCAAAGACTCGTAGAAAAAAAAACTTGTCATGTGTCATCTTTCTTATCTTTGGGAGCAAATAAGCGAGATGTTTAAGAATCTCAGCCAAAAATTTAATACTAAGTAAGCCACATCAATAGATGTGGCGAGGCTCAATTGACTTAGTACTTTTTCTCATTTATCTCTTCTTCGGAAACCATCAAGAAATCCAACCCAGGTACATCTTTTTCATCACGCGATAGGCTGGCATACTCTCAAATCATAGTGTATAAAGTATTAGTGCTTAGATCTTGCAAACATAAAATTACTAATTAAGTCAGTCCACATACACTTCAAGCTCTCACCTTGTACTTTTTACACACAAAAAAGACACTGTAGCGTTATTTTATTATAAAATTTCATATATTTATTAATTTTTATTGCACAACTTTTTGCTTCACACCTGTCTTCGAGCTCTGTATTCCTCAAATTAGTGAATGTTTTGTTCATATTATATCTCATTCCCTTTCAAAATGCTAATTTAATTTTTTTATTATTATTATATTAATTTGAATAAATTATTTGCCGAAGTTTCACTTTGGTTGGACAAGTTTGATGCTTGTTCGATTTCAACACGACTATGAGGCCAAAAGCGGAATATCGTGTACGGCAAAGTACCAGTAAACCAGTAAAGAAATGAATATAACTCAGGTTTCTTATTAATAGAATAAAATATATCCTGTTATTCTTCAACACCTGCAATATAATAGTGTCATAATCATTCCAGACAGCCCGCTAATATAGTCAATTATCAAATTGTCTTTTTTATTTTTTTTTATCAATTAATTTTGCCAAAATCCGACCTTGATTGAGAAACGGAAATTTCCACTTAATTTCCGTGCTCTTAAGTGCATTGACACACTTTTGCATACTCGTTCATTATTTAATATTTGCAATGCAAATAATTTAAATACATATTTTAATTGTTTTGTTTTCGATTTATTTTTATTTTTTTTCTATTTCATTCTTTCACACTCTATACTATAATTCGTGATCACTCTTTTTCCATTAAAAAAATTGTACATTAAATATTCTTAGCGCTTCGACTGGATCCTTCGAAGCACATAACTAATGGTAGTGCATCAAATCATTTCGATTCAAAAAATCACTTAACGGCTTATAGGAAACTTAAATGATAGTTGTTGTTGAGCGGCAGCTTTCTTACTTCTTTCTATCCCAACCGCCCCAGCCTCCGCTGCCACTACTACCAGACCAACCGCTGCCTCCATAACCACCACCTCCGTGGCCGCCGCCGCCGGAACTTCCGACTGATATAACTTTGTAAACATCGACATGACCTCCGGAATGACCACCGCCGTAGCCGCCACCGCCGTAGCCACCACCGCCATAGCCACCACCGCCATAGCCACCGCCGCCATAGCCGCCACCACCGCCATATCCACCGCCACCATGACCGCCTGCTGCGATCACTTTAATGACTTGAACACCGCCGCTGGAATGGCCACCGCCTCCGTAGCCACCACCGCCGTAGCCGCCGCCACCACTGTAACCGCCCCAACCACTGGAGCCGCCGCCACCTCCGTAGCCACCGCCGCTACCTCCGGAGGAAATAACTTTAATGACTTGTACATTGGAACCGCCACCGCCATAGCCGCCGCCACCACCGCTGTAGCCGCCACCACCTCCTTTAAGTCCGTCTAATAATCCAAGAAATCCTGCATTGGTTGATGCTGTTAAGGCAGAAAATGCCAAAAGGCACACAAAAACCTAAAATGCGAAAAATAAAAATATTTATATTCCTCCGTGTAATCCTCTCGTCGTCTTCTGAACTCACTTTCATTTTGATGATGACAAAACGCGCCGCTTAGAACGAATTTCGCACACTAATGTCCGTGAGCGACTAAACTCATCATTTTATAAACCGTCGCGACTTGCGGCAGAGAAATCTTAAGACTGGACTAACATGTGAATTAAAAAAATAAATAATAATAATAACAATAAAACTAGAATTAAAAAAGAAAAACCATTAAACGAATACTACAATAGAACAATCCACTGAATATCGAAGCTTCATGGTGACTCTTGGCTTGCGTTGTTGTTGGACGATTTTTTTACTCATCAAGTCACATATAAGTAGACAAGCGAAAAGGTGCAAAAAAAGAATTATTTTATTTTAATTTTGATTATATGAATTTTGGTTAGTACGAGTACATACCATACAAACACATATAGCCTAGAAGGAAACACCCATAAACCTGCTGAAATGCAAAAATAAAAAGAATTAGAAAGATAAACAGTTGCTTTGCGTTCGGTCATTTTGAATATGTGCTACCGGTATATTTTAAAAGTGTGGTATTATAAGGAGAGGCCAACAAATGTTCGCATGTGAAAAAATTATGTGAAATATAGGAGTAAATTTATTTATGGTTTAACATCGGCATTTCAGTCAAAGGTTTCGATATGTTGACTTTAAAATATATTCATATTCCATCGAATAAAATTAAAAAAATAGCCAAACTATTAATCTCCATATTTTCATTGACAATATTTTAATATAACACTTATTCTATCAATTTGTTTGCATTAAACTATTTATATGCATAGGTGGCACCCCTCCTTTTAACTATCTCAGACAAAATTTTTCCAAAATATTTTTAAGTTTAATTCTCACATTGAAATACTTTTTTTAAATTAAAATTTCGCTTACAAGTTTTAAATTAAAAATATATATAAACAGATGGCAACCCTCTCCAAAAATATTTCGAACTGTCTTCTGAAACTCCTACAGCTTTTATAACTGTAATATAGTAAACAATTGGTCTTATCGATTTCATTGAATCAAAATTAATAATAAATATGCATTCTCAAACCACTTCATTCCCTCAGTTATATAGCTATAATTTATTATATAGTTAGTCTTATCCATTTTATTGAATCAACTTTTTTAAATAGGTGGCAACTCTGCCGAAAATTGGATTTGGAACTCCAGATCGTTCGTCTAGCCATATATCTCGCCTTTTCTATGAGTAAGAAAAGTTATCCATAAATTAAGTGTTTCAACTAACGAACATTTGTTGGTATCCTTCAAGTTCATTTTGTGATCTTAGCGAGGTAAGCGCTTTGACTATTTTTAAGAAGCAATTAAATGCAAAGAAATAAATATAAAGATGTACATACATATGTCTTTTTGTTTGAGTTTGCATAACACAATACCAATAACAATCCAATAAACCATGTTTCTGCAGGCATTATTATAAGCGGCTCGAAGCAAAACAAAAACATTATTTAACGATGTCCCTTTCTTGCATAAATTAGATTATAAATTACATAAATATATAGAGCCGAATCGACAGTTGGATGACTGTTATTTTTGGCCCTTCACAAGCCAATGTCAACAAACAATATTTTGTCAATTTACAAAAGTGTCATAAGTCGAAATAAGGTGATATCAAAAATTGTTGTTATTATGACACACTAACGCAAGACTCATTGTTGCTCATTTAGTCCAAAGTTAACTTTAAATAGGAATCTGCTAATAAGGCCAAAATATAGATAAAGTATGCGTTCCGAACTTTATCAGAAATCAATCTAGAGCCCATTAGCTTAAGTCGACTTTAGCAATTTTAGCATATTGCCGCAGTTATACCAACATTTGTTTACGGCTTTTTTAGAATAGAACCCTAATTCTGTTTTCAAATCCTGTCAATTTGCATATTTATCTGTTTATATTCCTGCTCATCCAAAATTCCTACATTTCTGTCAACAATTTCCATATTTGGCAAAACTAGTTCAAAATCGAAATGTGAGCATATTTTACTTGGATTTGGAAGTCAACAGTTTGCTTCCGTTTCGGTTAGTTTTTTGTCTGGCTATGTTTAACCGGCTTTTTTACAAGACAAGCTGCCGCCAATGCTTATGATATGGCTTCAAAGTGATTGCACAAATCTTTAAATTATATTCATACGTAGATACGTGTATATCTATGCATATATACAGGTTGGTTGAAGAGTTTCTGCGCTCGAAATGAAAAAATACTATTTTTGGTACGAAATAAAGTTGCCATAATACTCAGAGTTGATTGTCTTACCTTTCTGCAGAATCAATCAACAAAATTCCTTTTGCATCCCAAAAAACTGATGCCATAAACTTCTTTGCTGATCGCATTTGTACTTTCACCTGCTTGGGAGCTGAACAACCAGCTTTAGTCCACTGTAAACGTTTTTGTTTCAATTTAAGATCATGGTGGTAGATCCAAATCTCATCCATAGTTATAAAAGATTAGATTGGTGGTGAACTCAATGTCGGCTTTCGGTTCAGTCAGTAGTTTTGTTTAACCAGAGAACAGAACTTTTCAGCTTCGCTGCTGAGAGTATTTCAATGGTTTTAAAGAATAATCGTTTCAGCAGTATGGGTTAATATGCCTCACATCTAACCCGCCATTTCTCCTATGCTCTCAACTTTTTGGGTCAAAGTTTAGCTATCTTCGACTTCTAATATTAAATGTTCACATCGTTGTCGTCATTCAACTCCAAAGAACTATTCGCTTAAAAAAATGTATCATATGATTGATGATATATTGTGATTTTGTCAAAAATTATAGACCTAACAAAAATAAAGCCAATAATTTTGCAGTGAATTGAAGGGTTTTGTTCAATAACTTTATGTCATTTTGAAGGTAATTTCGTAATGTCAATCTCATAGAAACTCTCGTGCTTATTGAAAACAACTGGGACATCGAATTTCTCTTAAGGCGAATTTTTCACCGGAAAAATCATTTGTAGGAACAGATGAATCAATTGGTGCCATATCCGCACTATAAGGTGGATCCATTCTCCTTCTGACGCGTCACTATTCCTGTGAGTGGTATGGTGTTGTCCTGAGTGAAAACAATGGCTCTCCTATTAGTTGAAGCCGGCCACTTCTGTAAGATTGCTTACAATCTTGCTTCAAGTGGCCCAATTGTTGACAGTACAGGATCGAATTTAAAGTTTAGCCGTAGCGAAGCAGCTCATAGTAGATGATTACCTGCCAATCCCATAATACGCATAGCAAACACTTCCTGACCGTCAATCCTGACTTGGCCAACGTTTGCGCCGGCTCACCGCGATGATTCGACCACGACCGTTTCTGCTTGACGTTGTCGTATGTGACCCACTTTTCATCTTTCATGTGAAAGCACTCGTATTAGATATTTATGTGTGTTAATATGGGAGCTTCGTACGTCTTAATCGCATTTCCACACAACTGTGTGAAAAATCCATGACATAATAACGGCTAACGGGTTTCGCTTCCTCTAGCGCCGAAATTTCTCGCAAAAAGTGAAAGGTCCAATTGCTCCCAAACGCAAATTAGATTCAACGATAAAAGTGACTTACAAATGGCTTTTATTTATGACGATACCAATTTCAGAAGCATTCAAGGCAAACGAAAGAGACTTCCGCGACAGCACGCCACCTTCAGAGCGTTAGAGGGGTATAATGGGATAATGAATGATAACACATAAATTTTTTATTATTTTTTTTTTTTAACTTTTATTTTCAACTTGTTATATTTTGGTAACAATAAAAACAATAACAACATTAACAACGTCTACGAACTCACGTTGTTGCTCAACAGGTACATTACAACAAAAATGTGGTTCAACATTTACATCTAGACAGGTAAGAGAGTTGTGAGTATGCAGGTAGATAGGTATGTTTGTATATCACAATACGAGTAGGCATGTGGGGAATGCTTATGAACTGGCGAAGAATGGCACTTCACACGCATCTAACGGTACAGCATACGGTTGTATGCGGGCGTTGCTGTGTGCGTCTGTGTGTGTAGGAGTATATAGGAGAAGTGATGCAGCGCGGTAAGCGTGAAGTGGAAAGAGTGGTTTATGTACAAAATAGCAGTGCGCAATCATGACGTAATAATCATTCAGTCTCAGTCAATGGCGAATGGCTGCGTGGGCTGCATTTTTTTTTTTCTTATTTAGGAAGGACTTATAGCGCTGCTTGCGAATAGTACAATATGTACAAGTGCTTTTTGGCATCGAAGGTGCTTAATCCCAGCCACCGCCGCCACCGGCAGCCCAACCGCCACCACCAGCAGCCCAACCGCCAGCACCACCGCCATAGCCACCGGCATCACCGCCATAACCACCAGCACCGCCCTCACTGATGACCTTGATGATTTTGACTTCACCGCCAGCACCGTGATCACCATGACCGCCATGGCCGCCGCCATAACCGCCATCAAAACCACCATGACCGCCTCCGTAACCGCCATCGAAGCCACCAGCGCTGCCACCTTCCTCATGTACGACCTTGATAATCTTGACATCGCCACCGTGTCCGCCATGACCGCCACCGCCGCTGTATCCACCGTGACCGCCATGACCGCCACCACCGTGACCGCCGCCGCTGTATCCACCATGACCGCCGCCGCCGCTACCTCCGCTAATAACTTTCACGATTTTCAATTCACCGCCGGATCCGTATCCACCATTGAAACCGCCACCACCGTGACCACCATGACCGCCACCGTAGCCGCCATCGAAGCCACCGTGTCCGCCATGTCCGCCATGACCACCATCTCCGCCGTCGCTAATGATCTTAATGATTTTCACCTCGCCGCCGTGACCGCCATGACCGCCATGACCTCCATGACCACCATCGTAGCCACCATGTCCACCATGTCCACCGTGACCGCCATCACCGCCACCGTATGAGTAGCCGCCGCCGCCGCCACCGCTACCACCGCCAATGCCCAGAAAACCTGCTTGGGCAGTGGCCACCACAGCTAAGATGCAAACGAAAACCTGCGAAGCAAAAACAAAAAGCGTGAGTAAGTAAATCGTAATCCTTTAGCGTTAGTATATTCCATGAAGGATGTAAGCTTCAGCGATCTTTACCTTCATTTTGTTATAGGTTGTGCTTAGATTTTGCTACGTGTAAGTAAGTAGACGAGGTTAACCAAACACTAGTTGTGAAGAGAACTGAGTAACTGATGACTTTCCAGTGTCATCCACCAACTTTATATACCATGAATGTTCGATGTTATGCAGCGCCGCGCTTAGCCAGCTTAGCCGCGCTCTCCAAAGCCAAAGTCGCGGCAGAAAAAGAAGCCAGAAAAAATGAAAACAAAAAGAAATCGAAAGTGTTTGTTGCATTCATCCCGCAATTTACAATAATTTTGCCTCATAAACAGCCATTGATATGCACGGACGCCAGAGGTTGATAGTGACCGTAAGCAAAACGATTATGTGTAGCAGGGAGTAAAGCAAAAACAAATTGCCGGCAAAGCAACGCAACTCTTTGTCACTTTGATTTTTTTTTTTTGCTTCGTTTTTTCTCCCTCTTCATCTGCTACTGCTGCAGACTTTACATTGGACTCTTCGGCGTCGTTTTGTCTTTGCTTGAACTATGCGACGTCAAATTCGGGCAAAACTGGTTCAAACCATCATCGCTAATGTCGGTAATGAAGCTGCAAGTGGTGAGCGTATTTCAACAGCATCGCATAGTTTTTTTTTGTAAGCATATGTGTATAAGTTTGAATTATGAAATTTTGTCGAAAGAGGAAATGCCCAGTGGGATGTTGATGAAGTTGAGTTGAAGATGCTGCTGAGAAGTTGAAAATTTAATCCAAGTCACCAATGAGTCGGAAAAAATGTTAAGACACGCGTCGGGAATGCATATGTATATATCGGTGTATGTAAATAAAATTATTTGAAAGTTTCATTTTAATTTTCAATCAAGGTGGTTGTATTAAGCCTCTATCAAGTAACCAGAGAGTTGTACGTACGGCAGTCCGTATTTCACACAAAATCATCTGTTAGGATAGAGGAATGGGAAACTAAATGTTTGAAAGAACAAAAAAGTCTATGCTATAAATATATTTTCTTTGAACTTGCCGTTTTCGGCTGTCTTGATGATATATTCTATTATAAAGGCTGTGTGGCAGCTTTTCACAATTTGTATTTCACAGCTTCGTTATAGCTCTTCTTTCTCTTAGTGCTACAAAAGAGTTCTTGAAGCATACAATATTGCCCACTTTCAATTGTAACTAAGGTAGCCCTCGTTTTTCCTCCGACCATCCAATGGTGGTTGGCAATTCGGAACACAAGTTCCAGTTAAAGGCTTTTATTCGGATCAAACCTCGAACCATAAATTCGTAACATCACACCTATACAAATTTCAAAACAAAAAAAAAAGAATCTTCCTTCAGAGATGACGTATTAAAGAACATGTCATTAAATACTACATAGGTATTTAATACTTAATATTTAATACTTAGCAAATAATACTTAATACTTATTACTTAATGCTTAATACTAAATCCTTAATACTTAATACGTAATACTAAATCCTTAATACTCAATACTAAATAATAATAAAATAAAAATACTTAATACTTAATGCTTAATACTTTATACTTAATCCTTAATACTTAACACTTAATACTTACTACTTAATACTTAATACTTACCACTTAATACTCAATACTAAATATTTAATACCTAACACTTAATACTTAAAACTTACTACCTAATACTTAATATTTAATACTTAATACTTAATACTTAATGCTTAATACTTTATACTTAATTCTTAACACTTAATACTTAATAATAATTACTTATACTAAATACTTAATACTTCATACTAAATACTTTGTACTTAACACTTTATACTTAATACTTAATACTTACTACTTAACACTTAATACTAAACACTTAAAACTTAATACTTATTACTTTATACCAAATATTAAATACCTAATACTAAATACCTAATACTAAATACTTAACACTCAATAATCAATACTTAATATTTAATACTTAACACTTAATTCTTAATCCTTAATACTTAATACTTAATCCTTAACACTAAATATTTAATATAAATTACTTAATACTAAATACTTAATACTCAACACTTAATACCTTAAACTTAATACTTAATACTTTCACTTAATACTTATTACTTTATACTTAATACTAAATACTCAATACTTAATACTTAATATTTAATACTTAACACTTAATACTTAATTCTTAAAATTATTTTGAAAACTATTTTATAATTTTTTTTATTATTAGTTTTCGCAATTGCATATATACAAAAAAATTTAGGGGAAGTATTTCCAAGAACTGTTAAATTCCGTATACTTTTTGATCAGAGTGTACCATATCAAACGCCATCGTCGCTGTCTCCAAAAACACACAGCAGCGTGTGCCCCAACAAGTATTGCAAAATAGCTTAAATCAGCCTGATCAGCAACAAATGATAATAAAACAACAAAAACAAACAACACGATCAGAGCATAAGCCCCACAAGCTGCATATCACACACACACACACATACATACACACCCAAACACGTGAAACGCATTTCGCTTTAGCTAAAAAAGCACCTTTTTTATTAAAAAACATATATTGATTAGCTAATTCGAATTCGCTTGCGCTTATGAAAGGCGTTAGCTTACTACAATAACAACAACAAAAACGCCGCCTGGTAACATCTTTCCATCTATGATGTAATAAACAAAAAAAAAAGGCAATAAACGGATGTAATAGCATTTCCTTTTCGTTTTTATTTGAATTTTTACTTTGGTGCGATTTATTGCCGCCAGACACACACACACACACATGTCTCTAAGCGCATACATAGATATGTAAATGTAATAATCATTTGAGCGGTTGATCAGTCGGTTATGCGGCTAATCATTAGACATACTCACACACAGCGACTTGCTTTTGTTTGCAAGTATGTATGTAAATATGTATTGAATTTATGAGCCAATCTGGTTGAAAACGATTTCATGTCCGCTTAAACTCTGGCAGCACTGCAAGACCTATTAACACATTGACAGCGGACAGGTTATTGTCCCTTGAACCGTTTTCACACACACATATGTGCATTGACTTGTATACTAAACGTATTTTGTTGTTACTTTTGTATTGCCAATTAAATTAATGCAACAATTAACATAATAAAATAAATTGTTTCAATTTTTGTGGTCGAAGGACACCACGCTGATCATATAGCATGTACAACATCTGATCACATTTGACCCGGACTAGTTCATGTATACATCGCGTGCAAACCGAATCGATAATCTTTTTTTGATTTTTTGATACAACGTTTCTCTATATTCGCGTGTGTTTGTCTGACGATTTTTACCGTACAAAAAAATAGAACAACAAATTTATTTGAATTTTTTAATGTCCAAAAGAATCTCTGCTACGGAGTCGTTGAAGATGTTGCAGTAGTGTTTTAGGGAGTATTCTTTATCACGAGCACAAATATTTGAGCGGCACAAATCATTCAGTGAAGGTCGTGAAGTCATCGAAAATTTACCTCATGCATCCTATCTTCCATCTATCCTCATCTGTTAATGACGATAACATTAAAAAGGTTAAAGAAACAATGCTTGAAAATCATCGTGTTGACATCAGAGAGATAGCAGAGGATCTCAACATCTGTTGTCGATCGACTTAACACAATTGGGTTATGTTTTGGGTATGAAGATCTGAATCTTTTGAAAAAAACCACGACGAGTAGAGGTTGCGACCTCTTGAGTTGAGAGTGAGTTAACGTAGCTATAGTCCAACATTTTTCAAATGCATATTTACCGGTGACGAGACGTAGGTTTATGAATATCACGTCGAAACTGTCCAACAATCAAGCGAATGGCGCTCCAATAATTAGCCGAAACTGAAAACACCAAAATTCGCTGATGGCACTAAACCCCAGCCACCCCAGCCGAGGCTTATTACAAGTTTATAGAAAATTTAATTACGGTTGGGCACGTAGGGTACGTAGTTTTTATTTTGTCATTCCGAGTCAATTTTGTTTCGGTGGTATATACCTAATGTCGAAACAGCTCACAAATTCTATTTAATGGATGTTCCGCCTTCAAAATATTTATATAATTTAAATATGCTATTTAACATACATAGTTTATATCATATTCAATAACGACGAATTGACAAAACTATATTTCACACCAATTCGATTTTAGGTGGTCAATTTGGGTCGAAAAATGTTGACATAAAAGCTTTTCAAATCAAATTTCATCAAATTTTTTTTGTTTTCGTTACGTTTTTCATTGGTTTTCACATTATGAAAACATTACATAACTTTAACAATCAGGGAAAATCTTTTGTGAACATAACTGTTTATGGTATATACATTATTAAAATAAAAAATACGGCATTATTAGGCACTTCTCTAATTACTACAACAAATTTAGTCGTGACCTTATACACTGCTTCGTAGATTAAATGATTTACAGCTTAATTATTTCTCGGATCACAAAATGACTTGAAAAATTATTATCTTTAAAATCTCTTCGTAGTAATTTAAAATAATAAATTAATTATATACATATGTACTAGTGCCGTACGGCCAGTTCGGCACCGTAGGCTAGCAACAATATCGAGCCACAGAGGCAAATGTGGCATAACTGATTGCTGGCTGAATGAAAAGCAATCGTTACATTCGGCCAACCAATGTTCGGTTTGTAAGAAACTCTTCGCGAACTTGGATATGATAACCTATAGGTTTTGATTAAGGGGGGCATCCCGTGTGATGCGCTCAAAAAATCAAAAAAAAAATTGTGCGAGCCCATTTTTTGGAGGCGAGAGTGTTCAGAACGCTGTAACTCATGTTCTACAAAATATTTTTAGCTTAAAATATATATTTTTACTGTCGAAATATATGTTAATAGATGCTAATAAACTTAAAGCTCTACCTAAAAAAGCCCTAAAAAACAGGCCATCAAATCCGATGACCCCTCCTAAATAGCTCAACCTATATTAGAAATATGATCGATAAATGATATTTGCTGAGAAGCCGGACCTAAGCCGACACAAATGGGCTGAAAACTAATACCAATACTAATCTTAAAGACCCGAGTATACATATCTTCCAGGTAAAGATGTCAAACAATACAGCAGACGTTTCTTAATCTAAAAGGTTCATTAGACGCATTTATATTGTAGTTTAGGGCCAATAAAACAATGTACTATATGTACAATTTCAATGAATATTTCGTAGATTTCCAGAGGAACACTTCAGGCCCCGGTTCACTACCCGCTGTATAAAGCTGAAGTAAGTACAAAATTGGCAAGATACCGCTGAAATATGTAATCCAAAGTTTAGAGAAACCGTTTGTAACTTTCTTACAGCGCCCTTACTCTATGTGATTGCAAATTCTGTATGATCCTTTTGTTGTATTGCACTTGACTTGTAACAGACAATTTTTCTAGTATGTACACATATATTTACATATTTATATGTATATTCATGAAGGTAATGTCGATTTATGAACATTTTGCACATTCACTCTCTTTTCGCACATCATTTCGCATACAACAATTTTTATTACACTTCAATTGATCAGCTTCCTCAATATTAAAGATTCATGCGACGATTCCATTCATTCGCCATGTTGACCCCTACTGGTTTGGGGATTACGGAAATCATTACACTCTTACTATATCTGATAAATGGCTTCCTGTTGTTGATCTTTTTTTTTATTTTTTATTTTTTTGTGAATATAAGTAATCGCGCATATTAGCAACGTTTTCTTACTTTTTTTTTACTGCTTTTGTATAATTATGATGTTTAGAAATTCAAAGGTTTTTAATGACAATTTAATTTCCTCCTTTTTATACATAATTTACTGTATATATAAGTTGTATACGAGTATGTACAAAATCAAGGCAAATATGCAGTGACCCTGAAGTGCGGCTGCCAACGGACGCCTCTCCTTTCGATGGTAGGAACTCGGCACATAAAAAGTCAACTTCAATAAATGAAAAATACGACATTGACTTTGGTTGTACCGAAGCTATAATAGCTCTCGCAAATACAAAGGATTTCTTACAAGAAATTGATTTTGATCGGTCAGTTTGTATGGCATCTATATGCTATAGTGTCTCGATCTGAACAATTTCCTCGGAAATCGGATTCGGAAACATCTTTCCATACAAGCCTTGATTTCGTGTTCTCCTTGGCACGATTTCCACTCTTCTGTTGATCTGAAAAGACAAACAGGTAGATTCTCAATCAATACAAATGTCATTATCGCCCTTCAATCAAAATGGCCACATTCTAGCAAAATGACAGATCGAGTCTTTCCGTTATTTTTTAACTTTACCGAATTTAAAAAATAGCACAGTTTAAAAATTTTGATTTGTTGTTGCTTCCCTCCATAAAAGAATATGGTATAAATAAAGTTCATGGCAAATTTTAAATTAATTGATTAGAACTTGAGATTTTTGACAAACGCTTTGAGAAGCATTCGTATTTCCAAAAAGGAGCAGAAGATATTTTTGATTAATTAAACTATCAACATAAGAAAAAATAATCGATTGATTTTAATTTTTAAATTTAAAACTGGACCATAACTCCTTAGCACCAAAGTTGAAGAATATCTGAAGAAAAGACTGCCAAAATTAAAGTAGTCCGCTATTAGACTGACTTGTATTGAGTTTTCACATTTGCATGTACCACACAAATACTTACACATTTACATGTACCATACATACTAATGTGTATGTATGTGCATTTAAAAATAATTGCAATAAAGTTCCAACGTCAAGTGGTCAAGGTTATTGTAAAATGCATGAAAGTGGATTTCAAACGGTTTAGTATCAACACTAACCATCACTGCACACCCCAAATAAACAATAAATAAGGTGAAATTATAAAATACATATACAAGTAAAACTATGAAGCGGGCCCAATTGTTCATCATATTTAGTTTGCTCAACACTTCAATTTGCGGCTTACGAGTAGACGTCACTTTTATTGTTTATCCCTCCGTCATCAGCAGCGTTAGTTGCTCAAGAAAAACAAAAACAAAAAACTCCAAAAATTATGTTGAATTTTTTTTTTTCTCTCGCAGGGTGATTTTGCTTTAATTATTTTGTACATTCATACGTGTGAACTTGTCAGTCGGTAAGTATTTATGTCAATTACACTTTCAATTTTTTTCTATTATTTTAACCGTTAACTGTGTGTTTGAATTATAAACAAGCAATTAAACACGAATTTGTTTACACATAAAATTGAAAAGGTAGTCACGAAGTCATTTTGATTCAATTTGCCAAAAGTGCCGACATCAATTTAAATGCTTACAATCGTATTAACACATACATATGTACATACACATTTATTTACATAAATGACTTTTACAGTGATCATTCCTTAAGAAGTAGCATCCACTTGTGAATTTCAAATATATTGTAGTTTAAAAAAACTAAAAAACACGCCTTTAAAGCACTTCAAACTAAAAAGTGAAAAATAATTCCTTATTAAAACTTACGTAAATATTGACCGAAAAATATTTGTATTATTGTGAGAAAAGTGTGATGTGCTCGATATACGAAAAATTTTGGCACAAACCATCTCACCTACCATCTTGTTTGTGAAATTTAATTCTTATAGCGCACTTATTTAGTGAGTTATCGCACTTTAAGTAGTTTTCACATAAGCGTTGTATGAGTGGGCGTGGTTATTATCTGATTTTATACATTTTTACAGCATATGAAAAAGTACTAAAAGTACCAACAAATTTGGATGAGTTAGCTTCAGCGGTTTGGAAGATATGTACATTAAACCATTTAGGGGGTATATTTTTCAAGGTAATACCACCATAATAAAAGTAACTTGAATTTTGTAAATGGAATATATTTTTATTTATTTATTACATAAAATGCCTCTTCAAAAAAGTTCACTGAACATTTTTTTCTAAATTGCAAGTGGATATATGCAACGCCATAAAGCTATAATATGATAAAGACCACGAATTTTTTATCTATCAAAATTATATGCAAATTATATAAACAAAATTCTTATGTATAACTACAGCCAATTGGCTGATGTACATTGCGATTACTATTTAATTTAATTTATTTCAAAACCTTAATTTTAAAAACCAAGCATTCACAAGCTGAACTATTTTAATGCTATTGGCAGCCCTATAAACATACCGGTCACCATTGTGAATTCTCGCCTTAAAAGAAGGTGCAAGTGTTGCCGCTTTGATTTATACAGAAATTGACAACGTAGCCAAAAACAAGTGTTAGTTATTCGTACAAAATGTTTAATATTCAAACGCATATGGTAAATATAACGTTGTATACATTTTAGACAACGTTAACTAATAATTCACATCTTTCCCACAAAAGGACTATGAAGGTCAGCACAAAGCGGAGAAGTTTTCACGCTTTATCATTACACTATTCGGCATAGTCGGACTCATCTGGGGTGCTATCATTCAGCAATTTTCGCAAACTGTCTACATTCTCGGTGCAGGATTTCTGTTAGCTTCTATTGTAAGTATTATAAACTAATTGTAAAGCTACAAGTAGTTTACAGAACATGTATTTCGCTAGATAACTATTCCACCATGGCCAATATACCGCCGTCATTCCCTGAATTGGCAAAAACCACGTAATATCGAACCACCTGCAAGCAGCGGCGATGAGGGCAAGAAAAAGAAGAAGTAAACACAGACATTTATGGCATACACTGTATTCCATTGATAGCTTTTAGTAATGTATTTGTGTAAGTTTGCAGATATAACAAATTAAGAAGTTAAATTCCAATAACGGAATAAAAAATGTCAATTGTTTATATGGAAGCAAGTGGGTAGTAGAAATTTGTCGCTGTGTGTTTCAGAAATCATTTATTATGTGGATTAAAAATAGTTTGGTATAGTTGGTGAAACATATACGCTATTCATATGTTAATTATTATCATTCTAAATACTTTAGTTAAAGAGTCGTAAACAGAATTCATAATTTTTTTAATAATTTTTGGATTTGCTTTTTATAAAATTAAAAATCTAATTTACTGTTTACAGCGTCACCTTACGGCTGCTATGAGACATAATAATTTCTAATAGCGTTGGTAACACCAGCAAACAGCTGACTGTGCAACAACAAATCTAATTGTTTGTGTTCCAATTTTACAGTTTTCTCTATTGCTCAGTTTCTTCACAATTCATTAACTTTTCTTCCTCATAACTTTTGCATTTTTTACCCTCATATATGAAAAATAAAACAGTAAATACTAATTAACAAAAAAGAAACTTAAATATCCATGAACACGTTAAACAACAAGTCAATGCAATGTTCTAAGTCGTAATCGTACTACACGTTCGGGCAGTGCTAATCGCATATACTGTAGTGTAAAAATATTAAATTTCTAATGACTTCAAAGTGAATCCTCAGTCAAGTAAGGTCAATAATACTAACGAAAATTAATAACTTCGTTTATTTACTAATAATCTAACATATTAAAACAGCTTGATGCCACTAACATAAAATATAAGTGTAAATTATTTAGTAAAAAGTCTATTAACAATAGAAAATACTATTAAATTTTGTGACTGAATCATCACGCATCATGTATTAACATATGGATAACAAAAAAAAAAAAATCAAATAAAAAGTGACACATACATATCTATTAGCTATCCTCAACTTCCCACACCGATTACTTTGGGTGCAACGGAAATAGCATCAGCCAAACAATAAAACTAGCTTCTAACAGTGGTGCTATAAAATTTAGGGTGTGGAAAATGAGTAAAGACACTATTTACGAATCCATTCAAAAACACTTGAATACATACGTATGAGCAAAAATATACAAATTCATATTTACAAAGTTAATGCGTCGTATCCTTGAATGAAAGGGGTGCGTCGCGCAAACAAATGTCTTAACAACTTCTTATGTAGGTGCTACTAGATTTGTGAGCCGAACGACATACATATATACATATTTACCAAGTAACATAGCGCGACTTTTGTTTGTGCCGACGGTTATAAATTTGAATATCCAACTGCAAAATGAATTTCTCCCCTTTCGTGGAGCGCCTCTTAACACTTTGCGCGCGACCTCTGAAAAACAATTGACATGCGTTTGGCTTATTGTTTTTGGCTTTGCCCACTTATAAATGGTCGTTTGTCACGTTGGCAGTTGCGACCTACTCATGGCTTAGCAATTCTATTATTACCAACTCGATGGCTTTATTTAAGTTTTTTTTTTCAAATTCATTTCGAATGTTCATACATACATATATAGGTATATGTATATTCATCAACTAAAGATTACAGGTGCTTTCTTGTAGATAAACCAATAGTGAACGAATTTTCTAGCTATTGAAAGAACGTGATTTTAGGCAATTCATGAAATTTATTTAATATTTAAGAATGCTCGAATCAGATTATATGCGGCATAGGGGCAATTAAGTATACCATAATTGTACTTATGTGATTGTTGTAGACATTTAGTCATATCAGCATTGTATAGAAATAAACCAATAAAAATTTACTAATTTACATCAAAGCATTAAAAAACTTAAGTATATATTATATATATTTACATAGCATAAATACATTTTGTAGTTGGCTCCAACTGAACACGCCGAGTTAATATCTTCGTAGAAGTATTGGGAAATCATTATATAGCCCAACTGTTTTAGTTTTATTAATTAGCAAATATTAAAATACTAAACTCACATGAGGCTTCTTTTGAAAAGTAAATATTATGTTTGTTTTCTTATACACACACCCCTGTTTGTGTTATAGTATACTTCACTGCACTTTATAATTATCAGTTTAGTAATCCGAAATGTTCAAGGTCAACATATATGCAACACATTTGTTATCAGCAGTCGTGTAATATCAAGGTCGTATTAAATTGTGATTTGGATATGTTGTTTTAGGGACTAAACAAAAAAAAAATTGGCATAGTTAACTTCGGTTGCATCGAAGCTATCAAACCCCAAAAAATACAAAAGATTCCTTACCAGAACTGGATTTCGATTGGTCAGTTTGTATGGCAGTGGGGGTCCAATATCGGCAGTTCCGAAAAATGAACAGCTTCTTGAAGAAAAAGATATCTCAAAAACTGAGAGACTAGTTTTCGTATACTTTCTCAGAAGTGAAGACACATAACACCTTGTTACTCCCGCCTTTCACTCACTTTCATCTGAGCCTAACAGACCATCAACATGGTTTCCGTAAAATTCGCAGTACCCTCACAGCACAGAGTTGTAAAAGCCCAAATTACAGCTTAAAATTCTAAGTTAAGAATTTAACGGGGGTTTCGCAGGGTTGTGTCCTCTCCCCGCTATTATTTAACTTCTATATCTCGAAACTCTCTCAACCTCCTGAGGCTATTTCCATCACCTCATACGCAGATGTACGATATTGACGTCAGACAATGGATTTGATGGCTTGTTTTCAAAAGTAAACAACTATCTCACCGATCTTTCTCGTACTAAATCCCCAGCGACCATACTCGTATTCACGAACTGAACGAAGGAGTACAGACTTGATCTTATTGCAGTCAATGGCACTAAAATTCCAACTGTTAACATTCCTAAAATTTAAGAGGCTACAATCGATTGCCTGTACTCTTTAACTTCGCATACGACCGCGATCAGAGCCGTAACAAAATCCTCAAGTCGCTAGTCGGCAGCACCTGGAGAAAAGATACAGAAACGTTGTTGGTTCCTTACAAGGCAATGAGCCGGCCGGTTATTAACTGCGCAGCACCTATGGTCATCTGGATGTAGTGTATGCATATGAAAAAGCTTCAGACGTGTCAGAACACTGTACTCCGTACAATAACAGGATGTCTCTTGATGTATCCCATCTAACACCTGCCTAGGGAGACCTGCATGCTTTCCGTTAAGGAACACAATACACTCTTCTTCAATTAGTTTATGGTATAATACCTTCGTAGATGCCTCCTAGGAACATCAAAAGATCATTCCTTGATTACGTCGATGCCATGAACAATTTACCGAGTTGCCTATGGAACTTCAGACACGCACTCACCGACTCTCTTCCAGTGAATGGTGTACTTGAAATCAAATCATATCCCACTGCAGACGAAGTATGAACTCGAGTTGCCTCGCGAACTTAGAGTGACCGTTGCGCAACTTCGTACCAATTAAAAATCGACCTCGACATGCCAAATTTATTTATGTACGTCCGCTTGACTCTAACCACCTCTTTGCATGCCCAATGAATCCTACTTATCGGACACCCCACTCCCTATATTCCGATCCCGTCGAAGCAACACGATTCCTGGGCTTCCCGTTAGATGATTTCGTTGACAGCTTACTTGCGCCTTGCCACCCAAATAGGGTCTAGATAACCGTTGCAACAACAGAAACACCTGATTGCAAATTATATTAATAATTAAATATCTTCAGGCACACCACACAAAGTAATTTTTGTTTAATAATAGGCTAAACTACTTTTACCATCGTGATAAATTTGATCAATTGTTTTCTATATCTAACCCGTCTGACATCAGAATCTTTTAGTTCAATCCATTGAAACCGCATTCTCCTTGGCTCTTAAGGGGGAAACAATCAGATGCATTTTTGGTATATGTATATATGTATATAGAAAACAGTTAGTGTTACGTTTTATGAAATATTTACCAGAATAAGATAATTCTGAAATATAACGTAAATGTTCATATGATATTACCGAAACTTCCACCATTAACCTATTTACAATACAAGATGAGCCATCGTATGAACAATCGTAAGAATAAATGATTATAGACACACATACATATATTACTAATATGTTTGTATTAGTAATTAAATTTCAATATTTTACCATCACAAAAATAAAATGTAACCGCCACTTCTACAATTAATTCATTCAATTCTCCCCCTATTGGTTTTTCAATACAAAAATTCTCGCTGTTCGCCTCGGCGTATACCAAACGCTTCAAGTAAATCATTCCAAGACATTTCTAATAACGCTACAACAACAACACTTTTTGTATGCTATACTAAAGACGTTGCGCTAAAGTACTTAACTGAGAACGAATGCCCTGGCATGATACGCTCTGTTGAGTATGACCCGCCAAGAGACAGTGGTGAGCACAATGAAAGTATTTCAATGAAAAGATCAACAGTGGAGTGAGTGAGTGAGTGTGGTGAATGAAAGCAAAGCCAAAAGCGGCATCAATTGTACAACAAGCAAATGTAACAAGTAGCAGCGCACACGCCAAACGACTTAACAGCTACAGCTGCAACTGCGTCCAAAGTGAGCGATACACTTGACCACAAACCAACTGGGGAGCGACGCTGGCTTCACACGCTGATGACTACTTATGTGGCGTCGCGCGCCGGCAATGTTTCGGAGCATTGGAACGCTTTGAAAATAAAATGTACATTTAGTAAATCCGCGACGGCTTGCGTGTGCGTTTGGCAAGTTTCTAGAGTTGTTGCTAGCGGATAGTTTGCGCTTTTGCCATTTGCCGGTCTCACGTGCGGACTACAACAAGCGTACGCTGGAATATACATATGTCTGCAGTGTGTATAGTGTGTAATATACTCATAGTGGAATAACAAAAACAAAAAGAATTAATGCGGCTCATGTTCAATTTAGTTAATGATGCCATTCTCGAAATTTGAAAGAAGCAAAAATTTACCTATTAATGTATAGCACTGGTGTGGCGTCAAGAGTATTCAATATACATACGTAGGAGTGATAAATTATAATAATATTTGGCATATGCTATGGGGCACAACCACTTGCTGCTGCAGCGCCTCACAAATCAATGCTCCTCCTCAGCGTTAACAACTGCTTACAATTAGCTTAGTGTGCCAATTTTTTGTGTTGTTTTTTTTCTTTTGTGAATGATCCATAAAATATATGTATATATACAAATTTATATAAACCGTTGTGCGCTTAATGCGACTTCCGTTGATTGTGTTTTCAGTGAATTAGATTCTTGGGCTTATGATGGTGATATGCGGGGTGATGATACCCACAATGATGCACAATGTGTTGCTCTTGAAAATGACAAAGTGTCTGCAGCTGTGATGGTGCTATTGTGACCGACAATTAATTTGGTGGCGCGAGTGTGACTATAAATGTCATGTAAACGAGTATGAATGTAATTATATTTTCCATAGAAATTTCACCGAAATTTAAAAAAAGCATTGTAAAAGTGCAGCATAAAAAATACAATACAAAAACGAAATACAACAACACAATCGCAAATTAAAACACATAAACCACAAGCGGCCAAAAACTGGGCGCATTGTTTCCATGCTTCTATTTTCTTTTTCGGCTTTTTGGTTTAACAACAGCACTGCGATTGTGCCGAATTAAGTGTTGACGTAGTGCGTATAAACTGGCCTGGAAAGCAACTCGACCTCAACAACAAAGCAACAAAAATGTATTCGGCGGGTAATTAATGCAAATCAATGGCAATACACAATAATCGCACACACATGCATATATGTGAAATTTTATTTATATTCACTAAATTTATTTAGCATTTTACATATGTACATAAATATTATATAGTACTTTATAAACGTTGTGTTGTGGCAATATTTGTTGTTTTTGCTATTTTGCTAAAAATATTATTTTCGCAAATGCTTACATACATATATGCACAAATATATTAAGCATTCATATGTAGATTTTGAAAAAGCGCGCAGCTCATACAAACATATCATAGACATTCTATATAAGAATATATGTATAAGCACTTTTGAATAAGAAATCGTTTTTTCAAGCTTCTTATATAAAACATCTGTTATTCTTACACATATATAAAACTTATAGATATAGCTTTGTATTGTTGTATATTTGTGTGTCTATTTGCCCTTCTTGAATAAATTCAACTTGTGATCACGTTTTCTGTACACACATACATACATACGAGTATGTACATTTCCTTTATCTTGCATATTTATATATATTTGTTACTCGGTTGTAAAGCTTAACTGAGCTTCTACCGGCAAATTTAAGCACTTTAAGGGAATTGTGTGGAGAAAATAAAGCAGATTTTCGAGGAGATGATAGAGAAATTAGCAGTTAGCGTAATTAAATCTCTATTTATGAAAGATATCTTCAACTCTACGGAAGTTTTCATTTACAAATACATAATGCTGAAGTTTTTTCTGAGAATACTTGTATGATTCTCTCTAACATGCAAAAAGTTAAGCCAAAAGCTCAGCTTTCAGTATGGGGTCATAAAAAAGTTAATAGAACCATAAATAATAATATTAAAAAAATAAAAAATATCTTAAAAATTCTTGCCCAAAAATATTTAGGGCAACAGACACTGGTATATAATGTAAAGTGAAAATAAAATACTTTTCTGAGTTGAAGTATTGAAAGAGATCGCTGACTTTTAATTTTTTCAAAGCTTTTTAGAAAGATGTTTTGACCTCAAACTCGAAAATAATAACTGGCGTTCTTAAAATGAAATGTGAAAAATTATAGAAATATGGATTATGACCCGTTACTTTTTATACCATGAACATGGTATATTAAATGATCAGCATAATAAGCTGAGTTGATTTAGCCATGTCCGTCTGTCTGTATATATACAAACTAGTCCCCCAGTTTTTAAGCTATCGATCAGAAATTTTGCACCTATCCTTTTCTCACTAAGAAGCTGCGGAACGACCGATATTGGACCACTATAGCATATAGCTGCCATACAAACTGAACAATCGCAATAAAGTACTTGTATGGGAAACTTTTTTATTTGAAGAGGTATCTTCACGAAATTCGGCAGGTATTGTTATTTAAGACAATCATGCAATCTCCGAAGAAATTGTGTATATCAGATGACAATAGCATATAGCGGCCATACAAATTCAACGATCGGAATCAAGTTCTTGTAAGGAGACTTTGTATTTGTGGAGCGTATTATAGCTTCGGTGCAACCGAAGTTAACGTTTTTTCTTCTTTATTTGGTAATTTTATCTTTAAAACTATATGTAATGTAATTAATTTTTTTTTTCTCGCCATTGTAGTTAAATAGTGTGATTCGTCACTGTAAACTCTTATAAGTAAATAAATATTAATTTACCTTTTATTTTTATTTATTTGTTTATTTTTATCTCTTGTCACCTCAACACCAAATACGAAAGGTTGTCACCAGTTCTGGCAATGCTGGATATAATCATTGGAAGCACACTTTATATGCATACTCGTACATTTATAGCGATATATGTACATACATATGTATACCAGATTCAACTGCAGCACGCTCTGTTGCTTTTGTTTATACCCACACATTTATAGACAAGTATACCTAGCATGTACATACATATATACGGTCCAAAGTATTAATATCCCAGTTGGACTTTGTAGTAGTTTGTTAATGCGTTTTCGAATTTTCTTTCAAATTATTTTTTTCAAATAGAAAATCGTTAAACCTGAAATTTTCTTGAGAAAAGCAGTCTTTTTTATGCTCCAGAAGTTTCCAGATGTTTTCTTATATAATATTTTCCTGACATTAAAAATTAGAATATTTTTTAAATTATTCAATTCTTGCACAAAAAATATTTTGAGTTTTTCAAATCTTCACGCAAATGATTAAGATTTTGAGTATTCGAGATGTATAAAAAGTTGTGATTTTTTTTTGGACTTTTGAAAGTAACTGTTCCGAGATCAAGTCGTTCAAAAATTAAGTTTGAATTTTTATGAATTTTTAATTCAAGAATCATTTTAATTTAATATACATATATGTGACATAATTTTCGAAAAAATTTAATTACTTGCTGACATAATACAGTTGCAATTTTCGAAAATATTTTCTTCGAAATATATATAATTTGTAATTTTTGAACAGTAATTTCTTAATTTTGATTTTTTTTTATTCTTCAAAAAAGGTGTTTCTTTCTTTCTACGTTCATTAATTTGAAAAATATAGTTTTCCGAAAGTTTTCAAAAGTTCGAAAAACTCGCGAATATGTTAGGTTTTTAAATGTTCGAAAAATCATATTTACTAGTTTGAAAGTCCGATAATTGAACTAGTGAATCTTTTAGGCACCTTGCTTCCCCCTTTAGCACCAGCAAAAGATAAGCATTTCTTCAGGGGTAGATATATATTGTTACAGGGTTTTGTTTATACTTTTTTTCTGCACTCTTTGTATTACTCCCCCAATTTCAGTTTGCCTATTCGAGAATTGGCGCGCGCTTCACTTTGTCTATGTGTTTTGCTTCCAAGTTTATTGTCGATCCAAAATAGCCACGAGTTTTATTTTTAGACTTTATGACTGCATAGAGCTGTTGAAAAAAGCATTAAGAATGAAAACTATAACACAAAGTGTTTGTTGTATATGTGCGCAGCTGTCCAATAACAATAGGCGGCAAGTAATATTTTATTCAACACGAAAAATACGAAATTTCTATGCTTCCAAATACGTCAGCAAGACCAATGTCATGTAGATTGCTGGAAAAGGTAATAAAACGAGCGTTTCATTCATGATGTATTGTACATATGTATATATTTATATACTATATGTAGATATACAGGTTGTTTGACAAGTTTCTGCGCTCGAAATGAAAAAAAAAAATTGTTTTTGGTACGAAATACATTTTTTTATTCAATATAAACTCCCTTTACTTCAATACACTTATTCCAATGGTCCTACAATAATTTTAAGCCATCCCAATAATGACTTTCCGGAAACTCTACGAAATACTCGTCTGCGGCTGTAATAGCTTCTTCATTCGACGAAGAACGCTTTCCACGAAGGAATTTTTTTAGTTTTCAGAAGAGGTAGTAGCCGCTGGGAACCAAATCTGGTGAATACGGTGGATGCTCAGGCTATTCATGCTTTAATTCGTTGAAATTTGTCATTGTTAAAAGACCATTGTTAAAACACCTGCTCACAAAGGTGCATTCTCTTGATGAAAAATGATTTTTTTGTGCTGCAAGCCGGGTCTTTTCTCACGACCTTTTTCATCCAGCTAATCCAAAAGGCTGCAATAATATTGAGAGTTGATTGTTTTACCTTTCTGCAGATAATCAATCAACAAAATTTCTTTTGCATCCCAAAAAACTGATGCCATAACCTTCTTTGCTGATCGTTGTGACTTCACCTGCTTTGGAGCTGAACAAACAGCTTCAGTTCACTGTAAACGTTCTTGTTTGAATTTAAGATCATGGTAGTAGATCCAAGTCTCATCCATAGTTATAAAAGGGCGGAAGAAATCGCTTTTATTCTGTTTAAAACGTTCCAAATTATGCTGAGAAATTCGTTTTCGATCCAGTTTTTGTTGAATTGTTAACTTTTGTGGCACTAACTTTCAAAACAGCTTTTTCATATGTAATTCTCCATGTAAAATATGAACTACTCCTTCGCCTGAGATGCTTATGACATTAGCAATTTCAAGCTTAGTCAAACTTGGATCTTCACTAACAAGATTATGAACTTGCTCAATGGTTTCTGGTGTGGTTGCGGTTTTTGGTCGTCCTTCGCGTGGATCGTCTTCAAGCCTAGTAAGACCACATTTAAATTCACCGGCCTAAAATTCAACACAACACTAACAATTGTTCATAAAAATCCTTTGCTTTTAAACCTTTCAAAACAAAGAATCAAATCACTGCGCGATATTCAATCTTTTCCATATTAAAATAAATACTCTGACACCTCAACTTCAAATGGCTTGTAAACAAAGAATTAATTGACTTTTCAACCAACCTGTTTATATGCGGCACAAATAAAAAATTTTCAATTTTTAAATTGAATTATTAACGTCCCGCCAGCTTTTGCATATACTCAGTTATTATATAATATATGCTTATGTACATATTATTTTAACATACTCCAGTAAATAATAATACATTGCAGCAACAATAATCAATGACTGCTGACCTAACGACAATTTATTGTTCTTTTTACTTATTTTTGTACTACTTCATTCTACTGCATTGAGTAGTTTAATTGGATTGAACTACAGAAAGTGAAAATTTATTGTATTTTTTTCTGATTAAATAGTGATTAGGTACATAGGTATACATATGTATGGTATATACAACAAATACAAATGTGCGGTAAAAAGGTGTGCTGAACACACCTATACACAAAAATGCTATTCAATATTTATTTGATATACAGTTGTGTTGATAAAATTGGTAGCACATATTTGTATGCAAAATGTATTAAGAAATATCGTTCTTTCACTTCCAAACCATTAGCACTGGTTGTGATTTTTTAAATACCACAGTAAGTTCAACGGTTAGCTGATAAAAACAAACTAGTACGGAAGAAAAATATTTGCTTCAGTCATGACAAATTTCACAAATTTGTATCCAAAGACCATAAAATACGGCTAAAAGGCGTGGTCAAAGCATATAATAGTTCAAGGGACACAACCAGTGCCATAGCCTAAAAAACGGCGATTTTTGAGTAGAAGAAACAAGCTACTGTATAAATTGTTTTAAAATTTTCAATTTAAACATACTTTAAGAACACAAATATTTTTCAAGTTTCACGCGATCTCCAACTGCTGCAATGTTTACGGCCTTCTCCGTGGATGAAACCTTAAAAATTCTTACTAGAAGATATTGTCCGTACAATGACTTACGGTGAAAAAAAAAAATAAAAAATTGGCGCAATGTCGGTGATATTTAAAATCGTTGAATTTTACCCATAATTTTGGTCGTTTTTGGCATGGCCAAATTCCATTTTTGTTTAGATCAAAAAATTGGTTGATCATTTTATGGAAAACTATCTGATCATTTGTCGCCTAGTAATAAACACATGGAGCTGATTGAATTGATCGGTTACACTTTAGACTCGAGAAATTGATTCAAAAATTTAACATGCTTTTTTTAGAAGTTAAAAAAAATAAAAAATCGATTTTTACGTCTCTTCGCCCCCCGTTCACTATATGATTATCTATCGTATTATTAAAAGCACAAAACTATCAGCTGATAAATAAGTGAGTCAAAATTTGATATCTCTTCGCATTAGCATGAATTGCCTTTCGGTTTTTTCTTTTAATTCTACTTCTTCGCAAAAGAATTGATATTTTTTCTGACTCCACCAAAGTTACTTAGCCATAAATTTCTCTTATAGTTACTTTGCCATAAATCGTTCCTAGACTACATTTATTTTACCGAGATATTAGACATATGTATGTTCCGCATCATACTATATATACAGCTCTTTGATATTTAAGACTCTTCTCGCAAGCTGCTTAGTTTTTCGTACCAAAACTTATTGACTTCTATTTTTATGATCACAGCTGTATGAAATTAATATTGCATTCTAGTTGAAACTAGCTTTATTGTTCCATACAATGGCTACGTCATTTATATTAATTGTGACTGCTTACTCATATTTAAACCGGCTCTCAAGATGCCAGGCACCAGTTGAAGTAGTTACCATTAGATTTATATATCATTTTATATATAACATCAAATATTCTTCTTGTGTAGTAAATTGGGTCAGGTCTAGCTTTATTTCTTATCTTGCAATATTCAAATTCTGATTTTAAAGTAGAACAATATGGACACCGTCTGTACACTGTAATTCAGTACAATGAAATTGATAGCACAGTTGATTCCATTCTATATAAAAGATAAGAATCCGAAATTCATCAAACTGTACTTTTACCTATACAAACGCACTCGCCCTTCAGCTAACACTAGAAAGTAATGCAGTGAAGCTGTAAAACTGATAGCGGCACTAAGTTGTAAGCGAATTTGCAACTTTCAACTGGTGATGATGTAGAAACGTATATAACCTTCGTAGAGGTATTTATAGAGATTGAATTGAGACTCTGGACTCTAGACTTGGTACTGCATCAGAATCTATACGACGGCTCGCAGCTACTTATTCCACAATAAGCATACGAGTTCGGGAAAAGATTTGGCTAAAGAGCACATACTTGCAGACAGATGAACTGGGTATCATCATTTCCGTCGTCAACTCAATGACATCACATTCAGCACACTGTTTCTTGGTTATTTTTTAGGTCATACTCGTACGAAGGTTGTCAAGGAAAAAGGTTGTCAAAACATTTTTTTTAAAACCTCATAATTAAAATGTCTATTTCGGTGAACTCAAACTTTTACTCTGACACCCAGATTGGATACCCTATAAAATATACGAGTTTATAAATGATTAGCGTGATGAGCTGAGTTGATTTAGCCATGTCCGTCTGTCTTTTTTGTCCGTATGCGAACTAGTCCCTCATCTTTTGTAATATTGATCTGAAATTTTGCATACTTCCTTTTCTCCCCAAAAAGCTTCACTTTTCGGAACCTTCGAAATCGGTTCACTATAGGAAATAGCCGATCAAAATCAAGATACAAATCTTCATAAAATATCCTTTTTCCTTATTAACTAGCTTTGACTGTAAAGTTCTTTATAGTAAACAACGTGACTGGAAAAAACTAGCTAAACGTTTTTCGTTGTGGCCGGTTACGTTTTCCGATTTAAAATGCATCCGTAAAGGGTATTATAGCTTCGGTTCAGTCGAAGTTAACGATTTTTCTTGATTTTCAGATTATATATCATTATATGTAATGGAATCGTTTTGGATTTTTAATATTCAATTCAATATTAATCACTAAACAAATCGCTTTTTAAATCTGTTATACAAATTCTACTGTGATCTTCACCGACTTCCGTTAGAACAGCAGTTTAAAATGTTATTCCGAAATATTAAAAAAGTAACATCTTTCAATCCCGAGTGAATACTCTTAGTTCGGGAATCCAAAATTACAGTAATTATTTCACTAGATTTCAGCCCGCTAACTCATTTAAGCGCATCCGAATCATTCAAGCATGACATTTGGTGTTGGATAATGAAATAAATACTTGCATGACTTTTTAAGCTTCGTTTACGGAATGATTTATCATCACCTACTATATGTTTCATAAGAATGTATATACATACAAACATAAATAATTTTTAATATCATACTAAACTAAATATAGTTTCATCACGCAAGTCTATCGCTTACTAAATATATATAATATATATTTTTTTCTCTCTTCCCCCTCAACCACTACAACTGCTAACCACTACATCTTCTAGTGCGCACAAACGATTTCGTTGAATATCCCGAATCGGAGATGGACGACCTGGAAAGCCTCTACTTCGACACAATCTCGCTGGCAGACTCTGAGGCTGCAGCCGCCGTCGCTGCTGCACACCGCAAATCACTCTCCCAATCACGCAACACCATCTACCATTCGGCGGTGGACCTAGCCGGCGAAGATACACCGTCAAAGCGCCGCAGTCTGCGCTCAGAAAATGGCAGCAGCCGTAGCAATGCCTCACTAGCGGCAGCGGCAGCTGCGGCGGCGGCAGCAATGAACAATCCGAACAGCCGTTTACCGTACAATCTGAATTATCGCCACTCATCCGCTTTGGAACACTACAATAATAGCGCGAGCAATGCAAATGGCAACCATGGACCTGGCCTGGGCGCTGTGGATCAAACGGACGCGGCTATTGCAGCCCAAGTCATGGCTATGCACAACGGACGCACGCATGCGTACGGCAACAGCAACAGCGCTGGTGGTAAAAGCAACAGCACGCCGCAGCTAAATGCCGATGAGGTCTCTAAGCGTCTCTTACAAAGTAGTACAAATACTAGTAAAGATAAGAAATTGCCAATTACGTACTCCCAGTGGAAATTTAGGGTAAACATCAGAGTTGAATTTTTGTTTTCGTTTTGATTTTGAACGCTTACAAATACAAATACATGTATATACAGAAATTGTACATACCAACATGTATATATATTGTATATTTTTTGCGTTTTGCGTCCATATACTGTTATATTTTTTTCGTGTTTTTCGAAATTTAATTTTTCTTCGTATTATTTGCATTAATTTCTACGTTTTTGTTTCTATTATTACTCTTTAACAATTATGCACAACTTTCTGCTCTCACAGCTATGAAAAACACAAATACACACACAGTAACACAATCTGGAATGTGGCAAAATTTTGAAAATAATTGTATTTTGTTGCAAAATTTAATTGCACAATTTTACGGGAGAATTGGTATTACTTATTTGCAAGAGATTAATCTTGATTAAACACACTGCAATTTTGTTTCGCACACACTTCTGCACTTCACACATACTTGCATACTTATTACTTATTTTCTTTCATTTACTTATCAAGTACAGTTATATAAACCGGTTTACTGTTTATTTTGCACTTTTTTGATATTTTTTCGAATAATTGTTATTGTGTTTCATTTTTGTTTTAAATTATTTCAAGAAAATCAGAAAAAGGTTAAAACTTGTAAATTTAGACCAGGGTAGCTAATTTTTGAAAAAAAAAAATAAAGTCATAGTTGGATGAATCCCATCGGAAATGAAAGATAAATAACAAAAAGTAAGGGAAAAAAATTTACGGGCGTTCTGAGGTCGTGATGAGTAATCGAAGGGGCTTGGCTGAATTTTTAAGGGTTAGAATGTTTTATCTCAGTTTCCGAAAAAACTTGTATGGAAAGTTGTATGGCAATGTTGTAGGTTAAGAAAAGATCTATTATAAAACTTTTGTTTACCGACATTTTCCACATGACTAGGTGAAATATGATATAGGTGAAATATTCAAATAACCATAAAATAATTTTTATACCCTGAACAGGGTATATTAAGTTTGCCACGCAGTTTGTAACACCCAGGAGGAAACGTCGAGAACTCTATAAAATATATATTATATATAAATGATCAGCATGCTGAGCTGAGTCGATGTCTGTCTGTTCGTCTGTCTGTATATATACGATCCAGTCCCTCAGTTTTTAAGATATCGCTCTTAAATTCAGCATATAAACTTTTCTCCCCAAGAAGCTGCACATTTGTCGGAATGGCCGATATCGGACCACTATAGCATATAGTTGCCATACAAACTGAACAATCGGAATCAAGTTCTTCGAAGAAACATTTTATATTTGTGAAGGGTATTATAGCTTCGGTGCAACCGAAATTAACGTTTTTTATTGTTTATTTTTACAATATGTTATAACATTTTTTACCTCTTACGAAATTTAGTGTTAAATTAACTTTCAAACACAATGTACTTTTTTTGTTTTTGTTTTATATTTTTTTTTTCTCTTCTATTTTGACCTAATATTTAAAAAAAAACCCTAATTTTCAATCCAAATTTCCCAAGTCAAAATATCCGATTTTTTTAAAAAGTCAGTAGGCTTTTCTCAAAGTGCAGAAGCCATTTTTGGGTATCTTTGCCGAACTATTGTGAAAACAACACTTCATAAAATAAATTTTAGAACTCTTCCTGCTCAAGATATAACATTACCAGAAAGGACTATGAAGTTTTTTCTCTCTCAAGATACTTAAAGGAATAATTCGAATAACTAGATTTCAGAATAATTGCGCAAGCGAATATTAACCGGTTATCCATATTATCTAGATTTTATCAGTATCAATAAAAAAAAACATTATAGCCGTATACTCGAATAAGCAGATAAACAGTTACCCCAACCTAGAAGAGTAATATCAATCGAGATCTCTCATTTCCCTAGTATTGTATATACCAGCCTATTTAAACCTATTTAATTTATGTAAACCAATGTGCGTTTTCGATATAAGTGAGAGTTGACTTAGTTTCCTTATTTAATAAAATATTTTTGAAAACTCTCTTGTTACACCACTACAAGGTGGCCTTAAGCACTTTTTATCCAATGCTTTATTTTCGGACCCACTATATTCTTAGTCTTAGGCTGTTTATACGCTCTCTGCTCTCACTCGCCCTACTCTGCCTAAAAACACTCAGTTTACAACTTTCATAGTTTTATAAAAATATCTTTTCCTTAAAATTTAAGTGTTATGGATAACAACAACATAACTTTTATAACATATACAGTCGTTTACCATTTATATTGCTGCTACTGAACAACTACATTTTTAAGCAACCAAACATATGTACATAGCCACATACTTATTTTCTGAAATTTATGTTTAAAAAAAAATGCTTTCCTTTCTTATTTTATATTTTTATGAATTTTTACCATTTTTCATCAATTGTTCTATCTACATTATATTGATTTAATGAACAAATATAAACTTAAATAATTTATTGAATAATTTTTTTTCCACACTCGTGTTTTGAATTTTGTTACAAAATGCTTGAACGCTTGCGGGAACGGGTAATGGCAATTTTTTCCTTTTCTTTTATATTTAATCTAAGTTTCTTATTAGCACATACTATACACATACATACATAGATATACATACAGGCATACAGATGTACATATAAACCGAATATAATACACTTACATAATTAATTTTAGCATTGAGTTTAATAAATGTGCCTAAAAAGTTTGCACGTTGAGTTTAAATTAAAAAGCAGAATTTTTTATTAAGAAAAAAAATTTATTAAGAAAAATACTGCTTTGCATGATTAAATACATTTATATATGTTGAAAATGTTTTTAAACAATTTCAAGCTTTTTGGCTTTAAATGTAAATGGATGATCAAGTTGTATTCTTATAAACTGTTAAGAGTTGGCGGAAGTTCATTGTTATTTTTAAAACAATTTAAACGAGTATAAAATACATACATACATAAGTATTTAATTTACATATACATGTATATACAACGAACGAGCCGCCTTATTGTAGTTTCAAATAATTGAAATATTACTCATTAATAACATAAGTAATAGTAATTTAACGGCTCCCAAGGCAAAATGACAAAGCTTAATTGATACATCATCAAACTGAAATTTGGGGTGGCTACAGCGACAACTATTATAGTAAAATTCATAAAAAAGTTTTATAATATATTTTTTAATATAATATTATTCTTTTCGAATTTCAAAACCCAAATATTTTTATATAAAAAAAAAAGTGATTTAAAGCCAAAATCTAAAATTTACTTATAAAGTGCTAGTTTATTTATAAAATTAATATTTTTAGTCGAAATTGTTGAAACATTTTCTGTTACATTTCTTTATTTATTTTTAAATGCGTCTAGATGTAGGCAACGTTTTGTTTTCATTTTTTTATTATTATTATTATAGGCTGATCAACAATTTGTTTATATTTCAATCACTACAACGGTACCACTATTTTGGAAAATATGATTATTAACATGTAAAACTATTTCAGATATTAGATGAAAAATTATAATTCTTTTTTAGTTTTTATGGAGTGATAAAATTATTAAAATATTATATATGATATAAACTAGTATTTTTTTTTTAATTATATCGGATGTTTATATTATTATTGAAGTAACATAAAAATCATTGATAGTATTTTTTGTTTGTTTTTAGGTTAGTTAGGTTAGGTTGTTAAAATTATTAAAATATATAATTTAAATTTATAAAAATACTAGTTATTACAATATATCTTTAATATGTATGTTTTCAATATTATTGAAGTAACATAAAAAACTGTTATAGTACGTTAGATCCGACTATATCTACAACCCTAGATTTTGGTACTTGGACCGCAGTACATCCGATTAAATGTGTGAAACTGAAAAATCATTAATTTCACTTTTTGAAGGGCCACCCTAATATGTATGCATAAGATGATATAAAGTATTTCTTCTTCCTTTATTAATCTTTGTTTAAAAAGCAGCTGTTTTCTTCCACTTTTAGAAAGCATTTAAAAAGTTTTACCCTTAAGCCGTTAGAGATCAATAAAATCAAACGTTAATCGCATTTACGCTTTAATTTTGTTGAATTTTTAAAAAACATTCTTTATTAAATCTGAAACACGTATACTCTTCGCTAAAAGAATTCGATCTATTTGTAAATGCGATTGAATCATTTTTTTTTTTTATCTACTTAGTTAATAATTTAAATACGCATTCATATGCAATCCCTGTATTGCAAAATAAAAATAAAATTATTTTAAGAAAAAATTAAAAAACAAAATGTATTTCCAGCTTACAAATTATAGCTGCTTCAAATTTAAATTCACTACTGAACCATATCAATTAAGCTTTGCCAAAAATGTAGCTTTGAAAACGTATTAATTTTATTAACAACAACGATACTGTTATTAATTATACCACCACCTAGTGAGAGAGTTTTGTAAATATTTAGAATATCTAGAATTGCTTGCTTTGTGCTAATACAGTAATTTAAATACACAAGCGTAGTAGCTTAAGTTTATAGCCTCTTAGAAATAGTATCGACCATATTTTGTATCAATATTAATTTAAATTCTCTTATTCACTCTTCGCTCACGACACCAAAGACACGTCGACGCTTCCAAGATGGCAAACGCAGTGTTGATTTCGTCTTGGCCTATATCGGTGACGACGATTATATACCCGAAAACAGACGTAAACGCGAGATATTCGAAACGAATCTAATCAAAGAGGGTCTACATTTGGAGCATGACAATACACAGCGCATACATTTCATCAAAATTCATGCGCCACTCGAAGTGCTCTGCCGCTATGCGGAGATTCTAAAGATCAAATTGCCAATGAAGAAGGTGAGCCTGCAACTATTTTAAACTGTTTTTTTAATACGCTTAAAATGTCTTTCTCTAACTCGTTGTAGATACCCGGTCAGGAGCTGATAGAGGATGACGATTTTCGTATCAAATCTTGTCTGACCACCACCTGCAGCCGCATCTTTAGTTGGCTAAGAGTCAGTCCGGAGCGTCCATATCGCATACACTTTGAGTTCTCCCGCAATTATGAGCATTTGTAAGTGTTTCATTGCTGCATTTAAACTGTTCTTTTTGTATTTATTTTTACTCACCTCATTTCACCACAGATTCGACTGGGAGCAACCGAATTTCTTCGATGCTGGCGTGCGTAACGCGATCATCAACTTCATATTAGAGCGCCAGCATTTTGTTGAAGGCGAAGAAACACCTGATAATTTGGGTATTGAGAAATTATTGGAGGACCGTGTCTATCACAGCGCATATCCACTGCATGATGTAAGTTGTAAAATGAAAAAAAGTACGCTTATAATTTTGTTTTATAATCAAAAATTATCGTATTTATAAAATTCATTCATAGCTAATAAATTTTGGCCATCAAAAATGTTGTTTTTATTGTTTTTTATTTTTCCATTCATCATTCCATAATTTGCATTTCATTTTTTTTTTTTTTTGTTTTGTAAAATCCTCCAAAAAAAGTATTTAAAAACTTGTTTTTAAATCAATCTTTAATATTTTTAAACATATATTTCACACAGGATACGGACCGTGACTTCCTACTGCAAGAATGGGCTACGCTAAGAAAATGGATACAGTAAGTTTACTCCTTCTTCTTCTTTTTCGCTTCTACTTGCTATTTGTTTATTTGAAATGATATTTTCTTATTCAGCTTGCAACCATTGGACAGCATAAAGGAGTATTTTGGTGCGAAAGTTGCCTTATATTTTGCCTGGTTGGGTTTCTACACACACATGCTAATACCTGTCAGCGTATTGGGCATATTATGTTTCATTTATGGATTCGTAACGTGGAAAAGTGATCCCATAAGGTATGACCCTCCTATAACACAAACAAACAAAGTTAATAACTTCAAATAACTAGGTAAACAAATTATATAAGGAGTTGAAAAAATTAGTCAATTCAACATTCTACCCCCAATAATTCTCATAATTAATAACCCGCTTATACCACGTAACATAATTCAACCCTCATCACTAAGCATATTGTATGTGTCTTTATAAAGTTATGCTACTAAGAAATAAATAAATAAGTTCTGAAATTGATTTAAAAAAAATCATTAACATAACCTCACTTTGTTTTCATAATTTCCTCTCATCAATACTTCTTCGTTTTAGTCGCCAAATTTGCAACGATAACCAAACGACTCTGATGTGTCCACAATGTGATCGCAATTGTGACTACTGGCTCTTGGAGAAGACTTGTAACTCATCGAAAATGAATTATCTGATCGACAATAATATAACAGTGGTATTTGCATCGATAATGGCGCTTTGGGGTATGTAATAGCACAAAAATCAATACAAAAACAATTGCAAAAAAATATTCTATTCCTTACAGCTGTTATCTACCTGGAGCTCTGGAAGCGCTATTCGGCCACTTTAGTGCATCGTTGGGGTTTGACAACCTTCTCACAGCACGTTGAACATCCGCGTCCGCAATATTTATCAAAACTGCAAAGGCACAAAGATATCACAGAGCGTTGGAAGAAAAGCAATAATATACTGGAACCGGATGTGCCGTTTTGGCGTATAAAGTTCCTGCCCAGTTTCACCAGCTACAGCATTATGGTCTTGTTTGTAAGTATAATTATAAGCGCTTCTATTTTCTTAAACAACAATGTTTTTCTGCTGCTACATGCAGATCTGCGTCTCACTCATCGCCATCTTCTCCATGATAGTCTATCGCATGGCACAGAAAGCATCGCACAGCATATTGGGCAGTGATAATTCGATGACCTACAAAATAATGGTGCTTCCCATGACCGCTGGTATTATCGATCTAATCGTAATCTCCATGCTTGATTATGTCTACACTTCACTGGCCGTTTATCTCACGAATATGGAATATTGTCGCACCCAAACTGAATACGATGAAAGTCTGACAGTCAAAAATTATATCTTTCAATTTGTCAACTACTATTCCTCGCTGTTTTATATCGCCTTCCTGAAAGGCAAATTTGTGGGTTATCCTGCCAAATATAATCGCATATTGGGCTTCCGACAGGAAGAATGCAACCCTGGCGGCTGTTTAATGGAACTTTGCATGCAACTGGTCATCATTATGGTCGGCAAGCAGGCGGTCAATGCCATCGTAGAGATGCTATTTCCATATATTATGCGTTGCATACGCAAGCTGTCTGCGCGCATGGGCATGCGCAAAATCGAGAGCGAAGAGAAACTGATATCGTGCAATCAGTGGACTGAAGACTATCATTTAGAGCCATCGAATACGAACTCACTGTTCTCGGAGTATTTAGAAATGGGTTAGTTGGTAGCTAAAATATTGGCAGAACAAAATGTTATGCGCTTTTTCGATTTTCTTTCTTTGACAGTTCTGCAGTTTGGCTTCATCACACTCTTCGGCTTAGCCTTCCCACTAGCGCCGCTGCTGGCCTTGCTTAATAATGTCATAGAAGTGCGTTTGGACGCCATAAAAATGCTGAAGCTTATACGACGTCCGGTGGCGCAACGCGCCAGCAATATTGGCGTGTGGTACAACATGATGGCGATCGTAGCGCGCATTGCCGTTGCTTCAAGCGTAAGCTATATATTGCCATCATAATAAAAGCTAGCATTAACTTTCTCAAAATATATTTGCAGGCTATGATCATTGCATTTTCCACAAATCTCATACCGAAACTGGTCTACACAACTGCCACAAATGACGCATCCTTAGAGGGTTATTTGAATTTTACGCTGGCGTACTTCAACACAGAGGACTTCCAAGTGCGTCGCATGACTTTTGATATATTTTTTTTCTTCTAAAATCGTATTATATATTTTCTTTGCTTGCTTTTAGGTGCAACCAGTGCTGCGGGGGAGCATCTATGAGAATGTAACCTCCTGTCGTTATACGGAATTCCGCAATGCTCCTTGGGATGAACAACCATATAAGCGCCCTACATATTATTGGAAAATTCTAACGGGACGTCTGGCGTTTATTGTAGTTTTTCAGGTTAGAAAGCATAATTCCATAGTAAAAGCTGTAACTGCTTTTAAAGACACCAGCAATTTACTATGTATAAATTCGCCTTCGGTTTCTTAATTATCTGGAGCCAACATTTCTGATAAATGTTGAGTGAAATCAATTCGAATCATTTTGGTTAAGCTTATGGGTAGTTATATAGCATACCCTTTTAAGAAGGTTCGCCAAGCTTTAAGCTCGTCCTCACATACTTTTAAGAAGAGCTGGCGAGTTAACTGTTCTTGTAATTCGTCTAAATTCACTTCATTTTCCATTACATATGTATATATATATATATATTAACATTTCTTCCTCTGCTTTCCACATTTTCAGAATGTCATCGGCATGATACAAGGCATAATCGCCTGGGCCATCGCCGATGAGCCGAGCAAATTGCGCAAGCGCATCAAACGTGAAGGCTTCCTGTTGCGCGAACACATTATCGAATATGAAAAGAAAACGGCAGCAGAAAAGGCAGCAGCGCGTCGTGCCATAGACGAAGCGCAATACGAAGATGAGAAATTAGATTACTACGCGAACAACAACAAGCAGCACACGACGCAGCCGCAGACGGTGCAACGTGATTATGGCGATAATGATAATGTCGTTTATAGAAATGAGCGCACAACGCCGCTGTAGAACAACGATTTACTAACTGTAATATACGTTATAAATAGTTTTACTTTGTAAGTCAATGGTGAACAAAACGGTAGGGCTTCTGCAGACCTGCTATATACATTTAGTACTGAATTATGGTAATGGCTATAATTAAGTAGGTGATTCCGCAAGCACAAAAGCTAACGGAAATGCAAAATGTAGCTAGACAATATGTTTGTAGGTGGTTTGTAGATTTTTTTAATTTTATTTATTTTTTCTAACCTCATTTCGAATATTTCTAGACTGCATTAAAATTGCCCCGCATACTCAGGCATACCCGTATATACAGTTAACACGTATGTGCGTTTGTGTGTGTGAGTTTGTTGAATCGAAATAACGTTATTGTTAGGTACTTAAAGTGTTTTAAGCAAACACATCATTGTTATCCATGTAAATATATATAATTAAATTTTTAGTAAATACTGCTAATTAGCATACAAAAAAAAATACAAACCAGTGAAATAGTAACAAAAAAATGCTCAAGAAATATTCATACATTTTTCATAGCAATTTGTAATATTCAAAGAAAAATTACATATATACATATATATGTATGTAAGTAGGCTATATAAAGCAGCTATTGCATAGAAAAAGCAATAAAAAATTTTAATTTTAACGCAAAACCTGAACGCATACGTCAAAACATACATATGTTAATCAATTGTTATATGGAAAAAATTTTTTTTAAATTTGATTTGTTGCATTTTCAACCACATTTGCCTTAAAGTACGTGCATAAATGTAAAAATTTATATATATTAATACATTTCATATGTTTATAAAGCAAACAGTTTATAGTTGAGTCCAAAAGCGCCACACGTACACACGTACATGAATATATAAATATTTATATGTTTATACCAGCAGGTGTGTGTGTCCATTTTTCGTAGCAATAGTACTGAAAAATAGCTAAAACGCATTAAAAAATTACAATTTAAATAGATTAACACAATTTACTACAAAATGCTATTTTAAATTAGAAGAAAATAAAAAATAAAAATAGTAGCAGTTTTTAACGAAATTAATTAAACGCCAGCCAAACAAAAAAATATGAAAAAATAATAATAAAAATCATTACATATACCTATACATACATTCATACTCACTCAAGCTGAAAGCAACCAGTCACAAATAAATATATATGCATTAGGGTGAGCCAAAAAAAATTTCTAATAAATTTATGACTAGCAATTAGCATATATACAGAGAAAACAATATTTCTGGCAGGATTCGAAGTTTCCCAAAAATACCATAATTTTTTAACCGTTTAAGATAAACTTTTTTTCAAATTTTTTATTTATTTTTTATTTTTTTTATGTTACATATGCACTTTTTTAATCAAAAACATTAAAACTGCATTTATAAATTTTTTCACTTTACAAAGTTTTGAAATACACGAATTTTTGGAAAAAAAATCATCTGAAATACAATTTTTAAAAAATTTTATGCTATAGAATAATTTGCGTTGTAAAAATTTTTTTGCTGAACGGTACAAAAGTGATGGTATTTTTGTTGAAACAAGATTTTTTTACGTGTTATTTATTTGGAAAACTTTGAATGCTCATCGACAGCTTTTAAAATTAAGCTAAAAATGCTGCGATATCTTTTTCGCTGCATTTTAACCCATAAATTCAACTTTAGTTATTTTTTTTTTTTTGGTTTGGTTTGGTTTGGCTCGCCCTAATATACATACTTATACATACAACTCGTGTACCTATCAAATTGCACTTCTCTTTCAATGTTAACAAAACTATACTACTCACATACAATTACAACTACAACACTAAGAGCATTATTTACCAGATTCTATATACATATATTATATATCTGTACACATGCATATACATATGTATGTGTACATACTCGTTATGTAATTATGCTATTATGAAATATGTACTGTTAAATGTCTGAAAATTATTTACGAACTTTTGTATATTTTATATGAGATTTTATTATTATGTGTGGAAAGCGTAAATCTGTTCTAAATATATATACATTATGAATTATATATGTATATACCTATGTTTCTATTTACACAACACATTATCCTATACTCATATGTATGCATGTAAATGAACACACAAACAAGTGATTGAATGCATTTGCATTATTCGCCGCTATTCTTTAAATGGCATCACATATTAAACGCAAGTAATACAATCCAAAAAGTACCTTATATGTACAATACATAATGTACATGTATATACATATGTATGTATGCAAGTACATATAAATAAATGAAAATAAACTAATACGAAATAGCACTTGAAAGCGTTCGAAAGCGAAATTTCTTTGATAAATCAAAATTTTAGTTACAACAATAGCAACAAGGGTAAGGTTATGTGAAAGATAAACATCGATTGCACCCACTTTTCGTACACATACTCGTACACTACGAGAATCTCAGCTAATTTTGTGGAGATTGCTCGCTCTCTGAACGGCAAATGCGTTATGAGTCGACTGGAAGGCCGAAAGGCCCCTACACATTGTGACACCTTATACCAATATTATTATTTTTTAGTTTGAGTTTTGTACCTTAATATGCATATGTTATATTAACTACCTGCCAATATTTATCAGGATATTTAAATTTTAATCAGAAATAAACTTTTCTCTTCATTCTGATCGCTATATTCAAGTAGCTGAGTTTTATAGGTTATAAAAAACCGTTACATGACTAAAGCTCGTATATCCTTATGTAACTGTTATGAGAGAACAACGTAATCTAGAAGACAGACATGATTTTGTACCAGTTCCACCCTTTCTCAGCACCAACTTAACCTAAATCATAATTTTCTTTAATTGTCTCTGATTTTTAGCGTGCGAAGGGCTGTTCTCCTACCACTGTTATCCGCCTTGTTTTAAAAAATATTATTCCAAATAATGACCACACTGAAACCCATCTATTTCGTAGCTAAATATCACGAACTAAAAATCTACGAACAGATGCCAGTTTGTATTCGACCGGCCAGTAGAAAAAATAGTTCTGGAATGCTTACTGCTCTTGAAACGAATGCAGTAATAGCTGTAACCAAATAAAATTATATTATGAATGATTGACAAACCCAAAAATCATCGTAATATACAAATTTGTATGGAAAATTTGCTCTCAACTGACTTAGTCAAGACGATAATACAGGGTTGGTATAACAAGTTTACTCAACTACCCCACAAACTCTTTCATTTCGACATACTCAAATTGCAGCCCTAATGTCCATGTCAATTTTAAGAAAGATAAGAACCTGTTTTATTTAAAAGATGACGCAATAAATTGTTTCTTATTTCTGGGTTTACATTGTGTTTATATTTGGCATGCTACAGTGGGCACCGGCGATTGATATTGTGATTCGAAAATTATTGACATTTATGCCTGTCATTGTATGACATTGGCGGTATTAAAGGTCTGCAGTGGAATGATTGAAACATGCCTTTGTATCAAGGACTTAGGCATACAGAAGCTGGGATGTATAGAACTCTCAGAGCTTAAGCTTTGGAGTAACTACCAGAATATATGTAATTTTTTCGGAATATTACATTTTTAAGGAAATGACAGATCTACATTGAAAGCAGTTTGTTTAAAGAAATATTTGATACAAAGTTTATAGTTTCGACAAAGCTTTTGTTTAGGTCATTTCAATTATATGTTGTCCATAACTTATGACCAATAAGATTAGGGCTAAAAAACGTTCAGTATATTTGAAACATTTGAAGAAAATAAGTGCCGGAATATCCAATATTGATTATAGTCGCGATTCACTGGGGTTTAGCTGTTATTCGGCATAAAATTTGTCGTACGAAGAACTCCTCACTTCAAGACCCAAAATGGTGAATTTTTATTCAAAGCACACAGACATGTTTTGCGACCCTCGTAGGCAACAACAATATTTCGTAATATTTGTAAACATACAAGTATATAGGTATATAATCGGTATTTGCGACAGCGTCTTGCAGAGAAGCAACGCGCCAACATTCACATCTCTCCCTCAGCAGTTAAATCAGCTTGGTGGAGGGTCGATCTGGCGCACGACATTCCTAAATTGAATTGTATGCCATCGCAAAGATGCTCTTCAATGTCTTCCAGCAATTGTCTTAATCGAGGCGACTCAACGCGGAAAAGCTGTCGCTAATGGTTTACGATAGATATGAATAACTGTATACATAAGCCATGTCAACAACCCATACATACATACATACATATACACATACATAAGTACATATATGAATGGCATATGTAGATGTGGATTTAAATGGGAAATGAGTTGGATCAGTTACTATTTATCAGCTTTCATTATAAGAAAGATCAGTTATCGTCGGGTCGTGCCCGTGTAAAGCGAGTTGAATAATTTAGCGCAGTTTAACACAAAAGCGTTCAGTGTCGCAGTGCAGCGATTTTTCCTTTCCACTTGAAGCGATTCCCAGTTATCGTGTCGGGAGCACCAGCGTCGAAGCGCAATGGAACATCAAGTTAACAGTGAGGTATGAGCTGGCGAGCAGTTTATGTGTGCAAGTGAAATGTTTCGAACGATTTTTAAAAGGATTCCGAGAAACAAATATCCTGCTTGGTGTGCGCTGAGTGGTTCTTTCAAAATTAGTGAATTTTTCAAATGTGAAAATGTAGTGAGTACACCTTGCGTGTGAATCGTCGTCACTTTTCTTGAGTCAAAAGTATTAACTGACTCATCCAGTTACGTGCTCTAAGAGACTCAGAGCCTTATAGTTCATAATAAAGCTGGTGTGTAGCTAAGTCTATACAGATTTATAGAAACTATGCGGTTCTTCCTAACTGCTCATATTCTCCCTTGACTGCCTCGATCTTATGGATATCATAACCGAGTGGATTAAATATGTGACTTTGGCTTTATTCTAAGCCCGATAAAAACAATATTAAAATTAAATAGATGTGTTTTACGGTTGTTCACCGTCAGCAGTCGGTATCAGATACCTCATCGAAAAGAACGAAATTAGCAAAAGATATAAACTTGATTTCATTGAGCTATCTTATAGTTTAGCTAATATTTGCGGTACAAAGTCAGCCACAGGCACTGAAGTACTCGAAATCTAGATGGTTGAAAGGTTTTAATTCGATTTTAACCATTTCTAGCTAAGTGCAAAGTTTTATTCCGATATTTTCATTGGAGCTTGATTTACCATGGTATATTGTAAAGTAAGAGATCTGATGGAATTTTGCATGGGAAATAGACGTAGGTGTTTATCAAGCCTTAAACGTATAGTAAAGCTATTAAGCTTAATGGAAGAAAGCTCCAAGAAAGAAAATCTGGTTTAAAATTTTTGTGGGCAAAAATTTCACTAAAAAGTAATTATTACTCTAGAAGTCTACAATTAGAAAAAAAACGATTATTTGGGCTTCTTAAAATTTAATGGTAAGTGCTCTTTGCTGCTTGTAAGCTGTAAGCTTCTTGAGACGAGTACTGCCGATTAAAAAATACGATACCTTATTACGTAAAGCTACTTAAAAGCTTTTATTTGAAGACAACAAAAATGTACACACTTTTTACATCTCTTCTTTAAGAAATCGTGTTCCGAGCTAATAGCAGAGTCGGACTATCCACAAAATCCAAATGCCATCAAGTATCTCAATGAACTGACGCTTAAGGAGAAGCAAGACTTTTTCGACTCCTTCGACGTAGTACTTTGCGATTGTGATGGTAAGTGCCGAACATAAAAATACATCTTTAAACACCCTTTATTATATTCACATCGTTTATGACACTCTAATTGAATATGCCAATAATCTGCTGTGATCAATAGGCGTCATTTGGCACGCACTACAGGAGCTCTTGCCTGGCTCAACGGAAGCGATCAATTATCTCAAACGGCAGGGCAAAAAAGTCATCTATGTCACAAACAATAGTATTTTACCCATTCAAATGCAATTGAAAAAATTTGAAAATTTCGGTATCGAGGTGAAGCAGGTAATAAGACAATGTGTTCGCCAAAGCGCCGGCATAAATTAAAAAAAATTACCTTTTCTCTTTCTCGAATCGCTCGGCACAGCATGAGATTGTGCATCCAGCGCAGACAATTTGTGATCACTTGAAATCGATACAATTTGACGGTCTTATCTTCTGTCTTACTTCCGATGCGTTTAAGTCTCTGCTGCGTGAGGCTGGCTTCAATGTGGTTGAAGACGTAAGCAATTTGTATGCGTGGACGCGGGAAATATATGTAGTAAATGAGCTTTACTTTTTCAGGTTCTCGGTTACGTAGAAACTCTAGAAGATTTGCGTGCGGTCACAAACAGCGATGACCCCGTTAAGGCAGTTATCATTGATGTGGACTTCAATTTGACCGCATCGAAGTTGATGCGCGCTCATGGCCATTTGAAAAGTAATCCAGAGTGTCTATTTATTGGCGGCGCAGCTGACACACTCATCACGTTCGGCGGAAAGGATGTTATAGGTAACGCCTCTAATCAAATCATATCATTAGATATACCTATAATATACAAACCTAAATATGCAACTAAAGCCATTTATGAGTGAAATCCGCAATTACTTAGTTGCCAACCCAATATATAGATAAAGTATAAAGAAGCACTAGATTACACCTTTTACAATACCAGCTAATGGGAGTGCATCATTCAATTTTCTTGGGGCATTAGATCCAAAAAGACATTTATATTAGTTGGGATATGCACTCGAAATTTATGTTGAGCCTGAAGCTTTTTTTCGGCTCGTTTCAAATTTGTAAAAAAGCAGGTTTCGAGGTTATAAAATACTGTCACACAAAATTTTCATATATCTAGTTGCCTTCTTTTCCCGCTAGTAAATTTCTAAATATTTTACTATTTTCAAGGACCCGGCCCATATATATCGGTCCTCGAAAACACTACACAGCGTAAGGCGTTAATATTGGGCAAACCTGGCGTGGCCTTACGGGACTTTATAATGGAGCAGCATCAAATCAAGAATGCAAGACGTTGCCTCTTTATCGGGGACAGTATTGTGACAGATGTGCGCTTCTCCAAAATGTGTGGTTTTCAAACTCTGCTGGTGCTCACCGGCACTACAACGCCAGAGGATGTGAAAGCAAAGCTAACTGTGACAGACACGCCGGATTATGCAACCGAAGGCTTGGCCGATTTGAATGGATTTCTTTCCTAGTATTTTTTGTTTTTGTTTTTTTATTTGTATGTATTTTGAAGATGATCCGCTATATCTTTGTTATATAATTTTATTTTGATTTTTTAATATTTTAGTAAAATGTCTGCAAAAGTGGTAAATAAAACACAAGCTTCTTGAAACTAACTTGTTTTATAATATATTATGAAAACAGCATTACATTCAAAAAGAATATTTAAGTTTATAATATTTATAACATTTCTTGACCATAATTGAAACTTCATAAATGCGCATTAGGGCGGTTCTCATATTTAGAAAACTAATTTTTATATTAAAATTCGCGAATTAAGTGGCTGAGACTGAACAAATTAAAAAAAAAAGAAACTTTTCAAGTACCACCCTAGTGTTTATACCATTGCCCTACTCACACTTGCGCCTTCTTCAAATTCTTCAAAAACTCAATGAAATCACCCATACTGTCAGCATAGTAATCTGGTATTTTAACGGGATCGGTTTCTGCTAGCATTTTTTGCATATTACAACCACCGCTCAGCACGAGCAACGTCTGGAAGCCGCATTGCGTGCCAAAGCCAATGTCCTGCTCCAACATATCGCCAATCATAAGCACGCGCTTCCTCTCCTTTATATCAAAATTCTTGACAAGCATCTCTGCCAAATCCTTCCCCGGCTTGCCCAACGTAATGAGACGTTTCTTGCTGGAATCGGCGATGATTTGCGCAAACGAACAGGGTCCTATGATATCCACGCCCTTGGCGAATGGTAAGAATTTGTCGCTGGCGCCCAAAATCAGTATGCAATCCGGGTGACGCAGGAATAAATGTGCGCGTATGAGATTTAATGAAGACATGTTAAAGTCGACATCAAGTATAACGGCGCGCACGGGCTCGTTGCTGAAGATATGATTGGCTAACTCGCTGTAAGTTTCCTTAATGATTTTCAATGGCTGATAATGAGGAAAAGAGTTGATTAAGAAAACAAAAATTAATTGAATTTTTTATAGAAAACTGTACTTACGCCAAAAATAAATTCATAGCCCGCCTCGCGTAGAGTGTTCTTGAAGTTTTCGGTTGCCATAACATAGATGAGCCCCTTGAAGTTAATACTATTCAGATATTGTACAACACTCTTAGCGGGGTACACGAATTCGCTCTAAAAATATATGTATGTGTAAAAAAAAATAATTATAACCAAAATAGATGTTAGTTATTGACAAACCGCATTAAATTCGATGCCAATCTCTTTAAAACGTTGTGCATATTCACTCAACGTCCGCACGCCGTTGTTCGTTACGAAGCTGAATTTTTTACCGGCTCTCGAGAGTGCTTTGAACCCTTCCGCAGCACGTGGAATGTATTCATCACGCGCCCAAACTACGCCTGTGGAAGAGAGGGGTCGGCTATGTGTAGACTTTTGTATAAATTACACTAGTAAACAGCCAAAAATATATGTATATTTTGTAAAATTTGTGACTTATCTCGAAAATATGCACAATTTTTCTGAAATAATAGCAGTATGCTTTCTGCTAAACTATGTAGAGTGGTGACTCGAACAAATAACTGGTATAAGTGGCATAAACTTTTCTAATAAGTTGAAATAACGGGTAATTATAGTTCTTTTAACGGGCTATGTGGGTTTCACAGCTTCACAAAAATTTATTTAATTCTATAACATCTCTAGAATATTCTCTTAAATTCTCAAGTCAATCTGAGTAATCGTTTTGGAGATACCCTTAAAAAGTTGCGGGCTCGAGATCAAATATATGGTGTAGTCACTTAAAACTTTAAACTTATTAGTAAACCCACTTACCATCTACATCGGAGAATATGCGATCAAACGAATCCAAGAATTCACGTCTTTCCTTTGCGTTTAATTTCAGAATATGTTTTGTGGTTTTTCGTGTTATTTCTTTTTTCTAAAAACAAAAAAAAATATTAATTTAAATATTTCTTAGTTCAAAATACAATTCTGGTTTGAAATTTTTTATATTGTTAATTGTAAGAACAACAATGTGTAGCTTTAGTGACTTCTGTTCTTTTGCACCCACACATTTTGTTTCTTATTATTGTTTTTGTGTACGCTGTATAACAGCTACTCACTAATTATAAATACAAAGTTCTAATAGGATAAACCGCACTCATAATATTTTTTCATTGTACCAACCGAAAACCTCCACACAACACAATAAACAATAAAATTTGTCTCAAAACAAATAATCTAAAGAAATATGTTTTTGTTAATGAGTGTAGTTATAAATATTACCAGACACCTTCGGCATTTATTTACTTGAAAGATGGAGAAAGTTATAAGATAAACATGCGCTTTTCTTTAATTTTGCACTAAATATTGAGATTTTTTTTATAAAAACACACATTTGTATGTGTATAAATAAAAAAAAATATTAATAATAATAATAAAACACTGACGACCTATGTATATATGCGTGTATGTAGGTACAATTTTATAAGTTTCACTATAAACGAGCGATAATATTTATATAAGTGTATATAACAGCTTTAATTAATAAATTTTTGTGGAATTTAATTTATGGTATTTGCCACATGTTGCACATAGCTTTTACAACCACCGTCAACAAAATTGTCACATACTGCCGCCATTTAAAAAAAAAATAGAAAATATATTTACATTAGACATTTGTAATTTTGTTGTAAATACAGTAAGTGCTTGGTTTGGATTAAATTAAAATTTTCAACTCCTTTTCTTCGATTTCGGTGCGCTTTTGTTCTATTCACCGCTATTTTATCAACTGCACTAAAGTCGCAAAATTAAAATGCTTATTTACAAAGTCAAACAGGCACTTACATTTGATTAAAACATATTTACATCAAATGATTTACATATATATGTAGATACATAGGTATCTTTATTATTTTGTTGTTAGGTATTTCAAACCAGTGTATCTTATTACAAACGTAATGATATCCATTTACTACAATATATAAAATATACTATTTGTGTATATATGCATGTGGTTAAAACAAATTACTAGTAGGAAAAGAAAGTGTTGCCAATTTTTTATTTTTGTTTCTATTGTTTTTGATTGAGCACTATTAATTTTTATAATACCGCTTTTATAATAAGCTTTAAACAAATACCAAATATGTATATGTATTCTGTATGTTCTATTGAATATTAGTAATACGCACATGTGTATTTTAAAATTTAAGTATTATAAAAAAAAACCTAGTAAAAAATGTGTATCATCACCCTTGAGTATTATAATTAAGCTAAGTGATATTTATTTTCTGCAAGCACATACACATTTATCAATAAATTTATATTGAGGCTTTGACGAATGCAGACGCGCAAAAACGCCTTTCACGTTTTAATAGAAATTGATATTATTCACCTCATTAAGTAAAAGTATTAATAACATATGTCAGTAGGGAAACATTTGCTTGTAACTTACGCTCTCAACTCATGCGTAAAACACATAAAAACGTAAAGTACTTTTCACATATGCATATACTTAAGATATATAATATGTCATACGAGTGTAGGCATGTATGTGTGCAAGCATGAATATGCATTTTAAATACAGTTTAAAAGCCCTTTATCTGAAAATACTATATTAATAATGTAAATATTTGCGTTCTGTTGTATTTAAATGTATGCTTAGTGAGGAGTTTAAAGACTGCAAGTCACTTTGCATATTCGATTAGTTGGCTTTTACTGCTTGCACTTATTTTTGTGCTTCTTAATACAAGAGTTTTTACCGCAAAACTGGAAAAAAAATTTAAATTCAATGTATGCACTGTTTTACATTAAAATAAATTTAGAAATACATGCGTAAGTAGGTAAACTTACATTGTTGAAGTAATCGGCATTGCTTAAGGCTAATTTTTTCAATTTTGTTATTATGTATAGTTTTGCTTAAAACTATATTAGCGAATATTTATTGAAATTTCAACACCTTAAGCTGAAGTCCGATAATTTTTTACGGCTACAAAAAAAACCAAAACTTACGCCATAAGTTTACATAATACACTTAATTTTATCGCTTTATGAGCACAACACACATTTATATTTAAGTAAGCTCAATATTAAATTTACAACCGAATTGCCACATTTATTTACATATTTATATTATTTATCGGTAAATGTTAGCTTAAACATGTCACAATCGCTTTATTCTCAAACTCACAGCATTATGTATGAAATTGGGAAAAACTCTACTGAACTCTATTGAAATAAATTATATATGCGAATTTTTCTCTCTGCTTATAATAAAAGTAGTCTTTTTACATTTCAACAAAAATTTAACAATTAAAATACCACCATCACCAAGTTTTAGAAAACACACACACTAAATATTATATATAAATTTTAACGCTTTTAAAATTCAAATTTTAAAATTGAAATCATGTCGGAAATAGAAAGATTCAAGCAGCTGATTCGGGGTGCATTCACAATAGTAAGAGTTAACCGAAAACTCTTATATTGCATATACACATATGTGAGCAATTAAAATATTGCATCAAAGTTCGAGGAAAACATATAACAAATTTTGTAATAAACGCTATGAATTCAATACATAATAACTTATTTTATTTTCGTCAGAAAAATTATAATTGAAATGATTGATTTTATTATTGTAAGAAGTACTCTGAACCTCCCCATAACCAACAGCTGACACGTAAAAACAACAAAAACAATTGTTCGTATTTGTTGTTGTTTTGCTGATTGTTGTTCTGAGAGCGAATTTGTAGCAGATAAAAATACTTAAACAAATAATAGTTTTGTGCTAGTAAAATAAATATAAACAACATAATTTTGCTTCAAATTCTTTTAACATTTAACAAGAGTACGATTAAAATTCGAAGTATTACATCTAGATTGCATCAATCACAAACTGAAAAATCAATAGAACAAAGTTATTTGACGAATCGCTGTACAGTTTATAACTACACAAACATAGAGTAACATGGGCGCTGAGCATTCCCAGCAACGAGCTGAGGCAGATGGACGAGAAATTTTTGAAGGCGATTTAAAAATCACACTTGGCAATGCAAGGCAATCACATAGTGCCACACCCACTGGTAGCACAAAACGACGTAGTGGTCGACAAAGCACAAGCAGCGCTGGCTCCAATCGTGGCAGTAAACATATCGTTGAGACAGTAACAGCAACTGCATCTCCCACTACGTCTGTAGAGCTTAGTCGACCACCTTCGCCACCACTGAGTGTATGCTCTGACTTGCCTTACGTTTCTTATACGGATCGTCCTATAGGTGACTCACCGAAAATTCGCAACAAACCGCATAGTCGACACCAACAAGCGAACAGTATAAATCGTAGTGCAGGTATACGCAAGTCTTTTGGCACGGGCGCTACACCAAAACGTCCACAATCCACTTCGGGCACAATAGTGATAGTTAAGCCAGGCGCGCGTGACGCAGACTACGATGCTGATGCAGATTTGACACGTTTGCGTAACATTCCACAATTCCTGCCTGTATTACGTGATTCTATAACAACAGCAGCTTTTACACGTGATCAGGAAGTGTTGGAGCGTTTAAATGCGCAACATTTAGTGAATATTTGTAGTCGCATGCAAACACATTTAAATCTATGCGCCACACAAGTAACACAAGAGCAAAATCATCTTGTTGAACGTACAAAGGTGGTTAGCAATTCCATTACAACATTGTTTGCTTCGTTTGTGGATATGCAGAAAACGTATGCTGCTTATGCCGAGCAATTCTCCAAGGTGCGTACTATATCACAACAACTGAGTCGTTGTAACTCTTTGCTGCATGACAATATTGCAAATTTGGAAGCCATAAATAATTTTCTCGATGTTGAAGATCGTTTGGAGCCTTTCATTTGGCGCACAGATGATGGTAAGCAGCGTGGTGAAGCGGAAGGTGCGCCTGGTGGAGGTAGTGGGCGGCTGACGCGTATGTAGTGTGGTTAAGAAAATGCTAGTCGCTAATTATTTTCTCACAAAAACGTTAACGCCATTCTGGCAAAACGTTCTAATCTGGAAAAGCAATATTTTCTTTTCTCAGGTGTAAAATCGTTATATTTGTTGTTATAGGACCTTGATCCAACAGTCTAGTTTCGATTATGGTCGAAAGTGTAATTTGAATTAAGTTTTTGTTATGATTAAGACGTGTGTGGTGTAAATATAATAAATATTATATATTATAAACTACAAGATGTGTCTTGTATTTTCTAATTGTTGTAAGATACTAATTTAAAAATATTAATATTCAAAGTTTACTGTTTAATATAAATTAATAAGAGAATAGAAGAGTAAAATAATTACATACATTTATTTATTTATATATAGTTCCTCAGTTTAGTTGATATAAGTACTAATTACAATAATATATATATATATATATTTATACACATAATACTCGTGTATGTTTCAATTACTTTTTGAAATAAAATATCAAGTACTAATATCTACAACTCATCTAGATTCATTTTACATGTAAAACAGGAGCAGTATTTTGTGTGCAATACCAGCTTAGTACACTAGAGACATTAGTAACCTAGTGAATATTCCATTTAATTAATAAGAGCTGTCAAATACAGCAACACCACAACAGTAAACAACGTGGACATTCACATTCGTGTATTGCACAAAAATTATTTACCTACTTATAGAAATTAAAAAAGGTTTTGTAGGCGCAATTTATCCTCAGCATCACGTTTACGTTGCTCCGCGTCGATTGCTTGTAGTTCTTTATTTACGGCTGCTTTCAATGTTGGATCTAGTTCGGCTGCTTTAAGAAAATCACTACGTGCCTCTGTTGGATTCCAAGCTCCAGCATGTGCTTTAGCACGTCGGAACAGTGCTTTAACATTGTCTTTATCTAAATCCAGCACTTCAGTGCAATGCTCTATAACCGCATAGTAATCACGATCTAATAGACGACATTGTGCATAATTCAATAGTAATGGCACTTTGATAGCGGCTAAAGCCAACCACTCCACATCGTGTGGTTTTTCTCTACAATAACAAAATATGAAATAATACTTATACCACATATGTACATAAATTGTAGCAAGTTTGCGGTTACGCACTTTGTCATAAGCTGCTCAATCATGCCGACAGCTTTGCGGTAACACTCTTCTGCTTCTTTATAATTTCTTTCTTTGTAAAAATTATTGCCCTTTTCACGCAATGCCTCTTGTGCATTCATCTTTTCTTCGTCGTTCATTTGCCAACGCTCCTTTTCATAATCTTCTGGTTGCTCGATAGAAAATAACTCGATGATGAATTCCAAATCACTTGGTTTGGAGAGCAACTCATCGAGATCTTTATAGCCAATACCTTCGTTTTGTAGGGTCATACCGCAACAGTGTCGGCGCTCTTCTACGTTCTTAGACACGTCTCGTAATGTTTTCGATATGAAAGGATATTGGGTGACCAACTATATTTGAATTTATTAGTAAGAGCCAATGTAATTGTAGGCAGTGTACTACTCACCGTTTTGTGCACTGTAAATTTGGCAACTTCGTTGAGTGCCATCTTTTGTACTATGACTTCCCAAACCTCCAATTTAAATTTCTTACCGAGCACCAATTCCATTGGTTGGCCCATTTTTCGGCTGTCGTCCAATGTGGAGCCATCGTCAATTCTTTTGGTCTGAAAGTGAAATTTGACTCGGGTGCCTGGTTTGAGTGGTACGTATTCTCTGCCAGGGTGTACTGTGTGTTTTGTAATTAGAGCGTCGTCAAAAGCGGGCGCCATGTCTATTTGTAAAGAAATTTAAAGTAAATATTAAAGCTATATAAATTTATAAAACTGTTGTACTGTTATTTCATAAGAAACTAATGCTGCTTCTACGTCGCCTCAAAGTTCACAATGGTACCTAAAAACAAAAACATTGAACATATAATATTATATATTATTTTTGGGAAACATTTTTTAATAAAAAAACTACGGTTACATAAAAAATAACTGTGCTAATTTTTTTAGTAGCAAGCATAAATAACTATATAATTGTATTGTTAATCTTTATTTAATGGTTTATGAGAAACTTTCGTACCTTTTAATATAAAGCAACCCTGTGTATAGGCGTGTGGCAGAAGTGCGTAAAATAGTTTCAGCTGTGCGTATTAGTCGTACAAAATTATTAAAACATTTGATTTAAAAAAAAGTTTATTTAAATAAATAAACTTAATCATTCAGTTACTGGTAGCTTAATTTATCTTTTCTTTAAGTTAAATGGCGGTAAGTAATAAAGTTTCTTGGTTGGTCTGACTATAAAACCACTTCCAGTGTAAGAAGCATTTCCTTAAATGCCGCACGGAAAGTAATCCATCTTTTTTTTTAAATGCCGCTTTTTTAGACGTTGAAACCGCCAAAAATTAACTTCCGATTATAAATTATACATGTTTTGCTATATGTTAGAAACCTAAATGTAGCAAATTTCAATTTATCTTCTTTAGATACGTACCAAAGATCAATTAGCTGTGCTGTTGAAGCTTATTGAAGTTAACAAGATTGGTTTAACACGCAGAAACTTAAGTATCCGGCAAAGAATATGGCAGGTTATAACACAAAAGCTCAACGAAATGCAAGGTGCCGAGAAGGACGTTGAAGGTTGGAAGCGGGTAAATTAACATACAAATTTAACTTTTGTTACAATTTTTTAAAATAATTTTATTGTACTAATAGAGCTACAATTCTTGGCGTTTGAATGCGGGTAAATATTACGAAGAAGAAATTGAACGCATTATTAAAGATGGTAAAATATAAAATATTTAAATTAGTACACTAATAACATTTTATTATTGACTTACAGTCGCGGATGATGACTATTTCATTATAAATGTAACAGAAGACGATATGTCTAGTGATACTACTTACGACGAAAGTGCCACTGTAAGTTGATATGATACATGCTATTAGATTTATTAAACCAAAAAAACCGCTAAATAGTACTTAGATCCCAAAGACCGTCAGTTGACGCTTCTGCACGAACTTGTTAGTAAACAGAGGCTCTTATTTATCAACACCTCTGAAGATGACGAACCACTGAGGCAGCGTCTCTGGCAAAATATAGCAGACGAATTGAATAATATACCAGATGGCGTTAAATTGCCCAAGGAAGAGTGGCAAAAGGTGGAAAATAACAAAAATGGCTGGCTTACTTTTGTCAATAATAGTTAGAATATTTTAATTATTTTCAGCACGTTGATTTGCGTCAGTATACTGTAGCGCGTGGGAGAAAAAGAAAACACTTTCGAAAGCCACCAGCAAAAGAGAAAAACGATGAGGTTAGTAATATGGTAAATGCTTAGCTTACTTGATTTTTTTAATAAAATTCTGTATATAATTGAAGCAGCTTGACGGTTCAGAAAATTCCAAAACACCTGCTTCATACGAGGGCGCCTACGAAGAGTATATAGTTGAAGATTTCCCCACTACGGACAAACCATCTACACCAACAGAAGAACCACTTAAGCAAAAGGATGTGCATGTTAATGACGTTTTTGCGGAAATTGACGATACTGATGACAACACTGATGATATTATTAATCTACTAAATGAGCATGATGATAGCAATAATGTTAGCGAACATTTTCCTTTTGATATTGATGATGTCGAAGGAGACGATTACCTTGACAATGCGGAGAGTGTTAATAACGCAACGGCGGATTACGACACAAGCAAAGATAAGCGTGCCAGAGTGACACCAATAGTTAAATCTTTTAAGTTTTCAAATCGTATAGTAAACGCTGTGGAGCAATTAAAGGATGACGTCAAGGAAACTAAAGATATGCTAAAACAAACAACAAATCTGCTGAATCGTATGTGCAATATTATGGAAGAACGTAATAAGAAACAAGATGAGACAAATGCGCTGCTGAAGCGGAATGGGCAAATGCTGAAAATATTGGTGGAATACAAATGTGGCATGCGAAAGGTGAAAAAATGAGAAAGAGGTTAAGAAGAAAAGTGAATATAATGCAATCAATTTTAAAAGGTGTGTAAACTCCATTGCTACAGTCACAATTTTTGACTTAAATGTGTATTGTAAATAGCATTTGAAAAGAGAAAAAATTAGTTCTATTAAAAAAAGAAGGGGTTAAGAAGAAAATAATGCAATCAATTTTCAAAAGCCATTGCTACAGTCACGATTTTTGACTTAAAAATGAATTTTGTCGTTTCACTTATTTGCATTGCTGATTAAAAACAAATTTCCTCATTTTTATGTAAGTATGTATATATATTATTTTTTGTATATTTCCATTGCTGCTCTGTATTTAAATTTACGAAATCAACGCTGATTCCGCTAACAAACTCCTAGTTTTTGCATTTTTTATGCTTTAGTACATTTAAATGTATTAAATTTATGCAATTTGTAATTTAATATCATGAAGTCATAATTTGATGTAATATTTATTATGTTTAGGCATTACACTACATATATAGTTATAACAGTTTCATCAGTAGGACATATACTTATATACATATGTATGTATATGTAAACTGTATTTATTGTTTGTAAACGATTTCCTTTGTTTGTTTTAAGATTTAAAAATTTATACATATGTATGTATGCATAATTATATATTTTGCTTAAATATTCACTGCTAAATATTTTTATTAATTAAATTCTTTTTTTTTTTTATAAATAATGCTCACAGAGTTCTTCTGCCTTATCGCTTGTGTATATAATTTATAAATGACTAGTAAAACAACCACATGCGTCGAACACGCAATTGAAAAGTACATATTATAAGTAAATAATGTCTAGGTAGTCAATTATTTTGCATTGTAGCTCACTTATTGTAGTAATTAAGGTATACTTTATATTTTAATTCAATTTTGTACGCATAAAAATAGCTTTATTAGCTTTATGTACGCACAAACTTACAACGCTTATGCTTAGTGGCGCTTAAACTATGCTTCCAGCATAAATATGCGTTCACACATATAAATTTAGTTAATAAAAAGTCACATTTTGTGAATTTGTTGTGTCAATTTGTAAAATTAGATAAAGAAAATACACAAAAAATTGTAAATTAGCGCTGAAAAAGCTTATGTTTTTTGTAGCTTGTTGTAGCGAAGTTTTTTTAGTTTTTATGCCAATAATTAGACATATACCATATATGAAATTACAATTGTTGATCTCTGTAAATAATTTTTAAGCTTAGTTCAAGCAGTTGTATGCAAATTATTTTATTATTTAACTGAAAATGCATTTATCACTTCACGCTCTACTTAAAAAATTGCATTAATTTGTTTAATTAATTAATTTAATCTTTTAAATAAATACTTATTGCTATAAAGTACACAATTTTGTAATTACGTAAGAATATTGTACTGTAAATGCAACTGTGTTACAAAAAAAAAAATAATTAAAGAAATTTGAATTCATACAATTTTGGCTAATTTGCTAATTTGCTAACCCCACCGTAATATTATTCGTATAACTATATAGTATGGTTTGCATAAACGCAGCATATTTCATAGCATATTTTTCAAGCTTCAAAATCCCATAAATGATATGTTTTCTCATGTTCTCATATTACCAATTTGGATGCTTAAACTATTTGTATGAATTCTAAGACGAAAATTGCTGCTACTTTTCATTAAATATTGTTTTTTTTTTAACGCTAATAAACGCTTAGAAGAGCAAAGTGGTTGTGGTTGTAGTAGTGGTCGGCGTGGCAACCATGCCATATGGATTTGGCTGTTGTAACGGCGATTTAAGTTGCTCAACAATTATCACACCATTCTCATCCAGGCTGGGATTCAACAATAAATTCTCGACCTGCTCGTCGGAGAGCAGCTCTTTCGGCTCTGACGACCTGAAATGTAATTTTCATTTGTTGTTTACAGTTACACATACATATAAAAGAGTACACATAAAAAAATTTGTACTGCATTCTAATTGCATTTAAAGATTAATTCAATTTGTATGTATATATGCATATACTATGTACTGTAGTATATATTAAGGTAGGTACATATATATAAAATTCCATACAAGTATAATGATTTAATAATTTGCTTATTTTTGTGCATTCCAACTACATATTATTGATTTGTAAAAAATATGCAATGCATTATGTAATTCTATAGGTATGTGTATATGATAACATTGTGCGATTAATATATTTGGCTGATCAGTAACCAATACATATGCATGTATTTATATAATTATGTAGTTGCCTACAAATTTGAATAGCAAACAACTGGAACAAGCAACAATTTCTTTTAATTCAACATGCAATTTTTAACAAGTTTCTTATCATTTTTACTCTTTCGTACACCGATACAGTTATGTAAACATACAGTTATGCGCATTTTTAACATTATGCTGTTTTGCAAATCAATATTGTCCGACATTGCTTTCAAATTTGCTAACAACTTCTTAAGTTGCAAACTTTTTTTAAATTATTTATTATTTATTATTAATTTTTGATTTTTCAGTTTCAAATTTTGCTTAAAAATACAAGCAGCACGCCAAAAAATTCACCTAAATGCTTGCGTTAATTCACCACAATACTCGTATGCATGTATGTATGTATGAATTTAAGCGAACGAATGCCGTTATGCATGCAGGCGTAATCGATTTGGTAAATAAATGCTTCAAGCTGGCCGCACAAATTTCAAAAAAATCTCCATAAAAGCGAATCATTACAAACTACTACGTATGTATGTATGTATGCGCTTAATTTTGTTTTGTTTTTTTTTTTACGAAAAATGCTTTACGCGAATTAAATCAATTTGGTGAAGCGATTTTGCAGTGTGCTCAGCAGTCCAGACTTTTTAAGCAAAGCTCTACTGGTGGCGCTGTTGCTGGCAGCAGCACCACCGCCTACTGACCTGGAGAAGAGGAAGAAATCGCCGGCCGATGTGGTTTTGCCGCCGCTTGTCGCGCCCGTGGCCGTCGCACCGCTCGTATTGCCGTCCGCATTCTCAGCGTTCATCTCCGATTCACTGTTGCGTCGCTCCAGCGATTTCCCCACCCTTTGGAAACCGAAACTAAATACATCCTTTACCTTATCGCCCGCATCGATTAGCAAATCGAGACTCTGGCGTCGGCCAGACATCTTTAAGCTGTTCGAACGCGACAGCCATTGGCTTAAGCTCTGTTTTTTGTTTAGCTGATCTTCGTGAAAGATCGTCGTACAGGTGACTTTGCGTTTCGGCTCATCCGAGGAGGAGGATGATGAGTGATGCGATTGCGCATCCTCAGCGCCGCCGCCTGGCTGATCGTGCAGCAGTGACTGGTTGGAGTAACTGGAACTTGTGCTCTCCGAGTGCGACAGTCGTATCTCAGTCCATTGCTCAATATCGTCATTGTCGTCTGCGTCAGCGCCGGTACTGGAGCTGGCGTCGTGCGCGCTACCGCTGCCGGCGCCACCGCCGCTGCTGCTGTTGCCGCTCGACTTCATCTCGTACGGTCCGTGCAGTGGTGTATGGCCAAAGAGGCTGTCGCTGGTGCTGGCCGACTTGTGCATGCCGCCGTTTGTGGAGAGTTTCTGCGTTGTGTGCAAATAAAATGGTAAGCGTTCGTAAATATAAGTATTGTTGTGTTTTTGTGCATGGCTGCGCTTACCTCCCTCAGATTGAGCGTTGGAAAGTCTTGCAGCAAGTGTGGACATTCGTGCTCGTCGAAGCGTCGCTGATGCACTGGACTGGACTGTGTGCTGAGCTTGGCGGGCAATTGCAGATACTCCTCGGCTGTGTCCAGCTCTTCGCATGAAAAGTGTTGATAGTTTTGCGCCGTTGGCGCGACATTATTGACAGCGCACAGCTGTGGCAAGAGTGTGTCATTGAGCAGGTCGCGTTGCTCCTGCCGCTGTCGGTGTATATCTTCAGAGATCTGTTCGAGGTTCTTCAACGCCTCGTTGTAAGTCATTTTCGCCTCGGTCACTCTGCTTTCAAGTTCATTGATTTTTTGCTTTTGCGCTTTCAGCAGTCCGTTATAATTGGCGCGCGCCTCGTAGAAGGGTCTGTGGGGCGGTATACAGAGACAAATGAAAAGTTTTGCAAATTTTAAGAAAACAAAAAAATGTGAATTTAATGCAAAAGTGTCCATAGAAACCAAAAATGCAAAGTGTCTTAAATTTGGAAAGTGTCTGGTAGTCTTTCTGGAGCGTGCAGTCAGTGTGGTGATACTTACAGAGCATTGCAACGTTGCTGATAAACCAAAGCGTTCATTTCAAGTAAGTCTCGTCTAAGGCTTAAACTAAAAATTAAAAATTTAAATACTGAAAATAAATTATACATAAAAATTAAGTAGAGAACCAAGCGTGAGAAAGATGGTGACTAGCATAATGACAAAGTAGCAAGTTTACACTGAAAAACTTATACGAAATTTGATGCTTTCTGCAGTTATACCATATGCGCATGTGTGTACATAAATATAAAGAAATAAGTATATATTTATCATATAATATAATTTAAAATATTATATAAGTAATATTTCGCTACGGAAATATCAAATTTATCAAACGGGCAAGATATTTTAATTTTATCGAAAGCTTCAATTGCGTTCATCAATCATAGTCTCCATTCGTTTCCTTAAAAGATTATCAAGCAGATCTCCTAATTTTTACAACTTTGGTTAGACCTATATTGGAATATGGCTCTGTTGTATGGAACCCTAGCTACCAAATCCCTTCTGGCAAGTTAGAGTATGTTCAAAAACAATTTTTATTTTTCGCCTTAGGGCATTTCCGATGGAATTTTAGATGGAATTCTAGTGTAAATTTAATATCCCAGTTCGCTTTTCGAGGCAATTTAGACCTTTACTGTTAAAATCCTGTAGGTCAAATTTCGAATTAAATGAACCATTCCGCCATATATGTCATGCTTTTAATTCTCATTCCAGCACATTTGACTTATCTGTCACACTTTTCAAAATTAAAAGACTTCATTGCTTTCTCTTAATAAATAAAAATTTATTATTTAAAACAATTTATTATATCGTAACTATAAATCTGAAATTTTTGTTTCTCTGTTTTCTGAGCAGTTTTGAATCTCAACACTTAAAAAACTCTCTTGCTTGAATCAGTATTGTTTGAGCAGCCAAGCGGCTTAAAATTTTTGGAGAGTTTGGAATTTCTTTTACGTGGACCCAATTGTCATGGGAACGTATGCTGCAAAATATATATTATATAAAACATTTTGGTTTTTTTTGGTGGTCATTCACTGGCAATGTCAAAGTGTCTTATCTTCTCAGAACTTATAGCACCTTCTTTAAAAGGTTAAAATTCGATACACATCTGAAGCAAGTTTCTAGAAAAGCTGTTGGTGGGATTGTCTCAGGCTGAATATTACGATGAGATAAGCAGTACGAACATTCTGATATCCACAAAGTGCAGCTACATGGTCTAATATACGTCGTCCGAATGTAAGATGAAGGTCTCCTATTAAATTAAAGGCGGACAACTTGTTTCGAAATTATCGAAACGAAATAAGGACTTAGCTTTGAACCCGATCTCGACCATTTTGACTCACTTTGTTGGTGATCATGTTTATAGAAAAATAGTTGTGGAATTGAATCGCCATTAGCAAACCTTTTTGCACGACTTAACCTAAAACTTGACTGTATAAGTAAAAGTAATCATAAAACTCTTATAGTTTGTCTCTAAGAATACTTTCTCTCAGATCACTACAAAAACATGGCTGGTGATTAAAATAGTATTTATTTCATTCTTATTAAGTCCAACAACTTAAAAGTTCGATGTATATATATGTAAATTCATTAAAAACCAACGATATAAAAGACCAAAACTTCGAATGATGGGCCACAACTATATTAATGCCTACTTTTTCAACATTCAAGAAAAATACGAACTACTTGTATGTCAATCGATGCGTACAAAAAATTCTAAAGTTTGCTCAAATAATATAAATGTATTAATCAATATGGAGAATATTTTGTGAAATATTGAAACCATTTTCAACTAACAATAATAATTTTTCACATAAACATAAATTAAAACAGCAACCCTGATATAAAATTGACTTAGAGCACTGCTCACATTATAGTCACACAGTCTTCGGATTTCCTTTCCAAATACATTTTAACTTTATATACATGAACTTTGAAAAATTAGGTTAGGTGGTGATTATTAAATCCGAAGCGGTATAAATGAAATTCTAGCACCAGGCTAAAATAACCACAAACGCTACAACAAAATGTGATAATGAAGAATAACAACAGTTATCGAAGGTCATTGTAATCAAATAACATTTCTAACTGTTGATTATCATTTTACAAAAACAAAACACACAAATTTAATGACGTTTGCGCAATCTCGCCCACTTCAAGCTATCACGTTCGAAATAAGGAAAATGCAACCAAACTTAGAAGACATGTTTGTGTGTGTGTAATGTGCGTTAATGTTTCACAATTTATGAGTGTGTGCAGATAAGTGCGTGCGTGCGAGCTTTCGTTTTCGTAATGATTTACAGTGCGATAAAACGGGCACAGGGAATGAACTCACCTCGACGCGCGTATTGCTTGCTTTAGTTGACCCTGCAATTTACCCACTCGATTATTGGCCACTTCCAACTTGAGTTGACACATTTTCAGCGTATTCCGAGCATCCGTCACCTCCACCTGTGACTGATTCACTTTGGCTGTGGCACAAAAACAAAGAAAACGGAAGCAAAATGAAGAAGGAAATTCAAATTAAAACTTTTTTCCAAAGCGCGTTGCTATTTGCTTTTGTTTTTGTAATAACTGTATGTATGATTTTATTGTTGTTGTTTGCCTTACTGGTAGCATGACTGAGCATTTCTTGGCAGGCGGTGTCCAACGTCGCTTTCTCACCCAGCCCCTGCTCGGCCAAATAGACCATCTCCTTGGCAGCGCAATGTATTGATTTGGCCTTCTCGTAATTGACTGCCGCTTGTTGTGTCTCCTTTGCCAACTACAAGGCACACACACACACACAGCCATACAGACACAAACAACCACGTGGAAGCAAAAACGAAAGAGGAAATGTATATAGTAGATATATTTATCGATTACATTGCATTTGATTGCATTTAACGGTACTCACTTGCGCTGCATAGATACGCGACTCGTAGTAGGGTTTCGCCGCCTCGATGGAGTTGCCCAATTTGTGTGCGGCCTGCTTGATGCGCACCTCGCTCTCCGCCAAGATACGCTTGAAATCACATTTTGCCTCCTAACGGTGGAATATCGCAAAATAAATATATGGTTGCATATAGTTTGTTTGTATGTATGTACATATGTATTTGTGTTTGTGTGTATATTAATTGCTGTAAAATGCTTTTTATTGCATATGGTTACATTTCTTACAAAATGCTTTTATAACTGAATTAAATGAAAGCAATTAGGGCGCCGCATTATAAAGACACACACAGATGTATGGGTATTTATATTCGCCACGGCATGTTTGGCGCATCTGGCAATGCTTTATTGGAACATTTTCAAATATTTGAATATTTTCCATTAATTTTGAACCAAAGTAACTTACTAAATTAAAATCTAAAGAAAATTAGTTCTTTGAAGTAAAAATTTAGAGAACAAATATTTAAATTGTTGCACTCATTCTTTGCTACAGAAAATATTATTCATAAATATGTGAACTTCAATTTTCCATTAGAAGTGTTATGGTAGCTATAATATTGTTTCCATATCTTGATTTTGAGTTTGTATGAAAGCTATATGCTATAGTGGTCCAATCTGAACAATTGTTCGAAGATTGTATCTTTACCTTAGACAATAATGCATGCCAAATTTCGTTAAGAAAATTTGTCAAATAAAAAGTTTTCCAAAACCTTATTCCGATTGTTCAGTTTGTATGGTAGCTAGATGCTGTAGTGATCCAATATCGGCGGTTCCGACAAATGAGCGGCTTCTTGAGGAGAAAAGGATGCGTGTAAAATTTCAGATCAATATCTCAAAAATACAGAAGTAGTTCGCGTATAAACAGAGAGATAGATGGCTAAATGTGATCCCCACGTTTGGCTAATTTATATTGGTTTATAGGGTCTGCGACATTTCCCTCTGTGAGTTACAAACTTCGTGATAAACTTATTATAATCTATTCAGTGTATATATTGTATGTATTGTATGCCGTCATATTAGCGATGTACAGGGTGACAGTTCTAAGTACCTTATCAAACTAAATATTAAGAAAACACTAAAAGCTAACTGTGATGAACTTTATTATAATAATAAAATTATAAATTTGAGAGAACATATTACATAGGTATTCTTGTTTTTTTCTAAATCATGTCATCCGAAATTTTGGTTACTGTTGCACATTTTACTTCTCTACTATAGAACTACTAGAAATATTGGTTTAAAAAATATTAGACAACATGGTAAAATATCTATCAAAATTTTTGTCCGATAGTTGGGCTTGCTGAAAAATAAAAGTATGGCTTACGTGCGAAAAAGTATTGCCAGCAAACCTCCAATGCATTTTAGTAACAAGGAGTATTTGAATTTAATCTTGAGATCTTAGTTTCTGTAACATTAAAATTTTTTATAGAATATAAATTAAATTTTTTGTTGAATACCGTTCATAGATGTTTGGCCAAAAGTTCTATGTCGACTGAGTTTTGGTTGAAGTCTTATTAGGCTGAAGCTTTGCACTGTTTTTCTGAACAAATAAATATGTGAATGCTTTACTAAACGACACTCTGAACCTAACTTTATCCCTGGCTGTTCCAGAAATTCATAATTTCAAATTCCATCACCCTGTATTTAACAACAAAAATATTTAACTTGTTGTTAAATGCGCTCGAAAAATGTTTTCGAAGCTCAATTAGACCTTTAAAATCTAAATATACAATATAAAATTGTTAGATGCCAATATGTGGCTCAGTGAAAGACTCTGAGGACTACAAAAAAGACAAAAAAATCACAATTTCTTGAACAAAAACTATATACACACTAACACACTTCCACATGTGTTGAAAGAGCAGCTCACAAATAGGTGCAAAGCTTTTGGCATCCACTTGAGTAGCTCACGTTCAAAATGAAATCTTCGATGATACTCGAAATTTAATTAACTTGTATGTGGCCACATGTAAGCTAAATGGGCCGCACACTTATTGACTTCATTGCTTTTTGTTGTTGTCATGATTATTGACAATGTTACTGTCATGTGAAGCCGGCTTAAGCCATTTTAATTATCTGCTAAGGGTTAGCTACTTAAGTTGGCTTAAAGTAGCAATAAACGGCGGAGGGAAACGGCACTTGAACTGACTATGCATAGTCATATTGGTGAGTAAATATATGAATATGTGTGTTGGGTATGTTAACGTATAAACACTTCACTTTAAGTAAACTAAAATAGTGTACCTAATTGGTACTGCTTATTGTTTTTTTAAGGAATAATTTCAGATTGATTGTGTTTAGCGAGGAACTTCTTTAGTTTGTTAATTTTGAATAGAGATTTTAAGCGGTTTGAAAAAGACGAAGTGGAAACTAAAGTAAATCCTGTCAACACATCTTTGAATGCCTGTTTTGTATAGCTAATCAACAGCGGAAAGTATGAGATTCTTGAAAATCTTTGCTGATCTCCAAAAGTTGAGGCAAGACATTGGCAAGAAAATAGAGAAATAAAAAAAATTAAAGAGAAAGTAAGAATAAGAAAAAACGTTAACTTCGGTAGCACTGAAGCGATAATACCCTTCACAAATACAAAAGATTCTTTAAAAAAAACTAGATAACGATTATTCTGTTATATGCCAGCTATATGCTATAGTATTGCGATCTGAACAATTTCTTCAAATTGCATTATTGCCTTAGATAATGATCCATACCAAATTTCGTGAAAAAGTCTCGCCAAATGAAAAGTTTTCCATGCAAGCACTTGATTCCCATCGTTCAGTTTGTATGGCAGCTATATGCTAGAGTGGTCCGATATCGGCCGTTCCGACAAATGAGCAGCTTCTTGATGAGAAAAGGACGGCATATATACAGAGAGACAGGCGGACATGACTGAATCGACTCAGCTCATCATGCTGATCATTTATAGATATATATTATATAGGGTGTTCGACGTTTTATTCTGAGAGTTATAAACTTCGTGTTCAAGGTATAACTATTTATGATCGATCTGCGGTCGAGCCAAATTTTCACATACATTTTGAGGTTGCACATCTGTACATACAAAAGTTGTAGATATTTTTATTACTTACAACTTTGCTATTTAACCATAGGTCTTGAAGTTTCGACGGAAATCGCGATAAACCGCTTTTTATACTTAAAAACTGAACCACCCCTCTCTCCTCTACTTCCCCACCTTAGATCGCCTTTAAAACATTCTTCTAATCATTTTTGTTATATATTTTAATTTCTTTTCCTTTTCCAATGAGTTTCATTCTACTATGATTTTTTATTGCTTTCAAAAGTTATCGAACCTGGTCTATTTTTCTTTTCAGTTTACTATCTTATTTTTTTATCTATAAACTATAATGGAAAGCTCTATATTTTCTTTAAAGATCTGAATCATTAAGTATGGTTAAAAAATCTCTACATGGACCACCCTGTTGATTTTCAGATACCATTTAGTTTGTTTTACTTTCAAAACAATTGCTATAGAACTTTAGCATAATATTGTCTTAAGGGAAAATATTTTTGTAAAGTATATACACACATACTAATACACCACTACTTCCTCATGGGTGTGTACATGCATTTGTTTGTGTGCATGCATCGAATTTATGAATGGCTGCCAGAATATCTTTCATTCGTTATTTGTAAACCAATTGTAAAAGCATTTTATGTAACGATTCGGTAAACTTTTTTGCAATTTTCTGCATGATGAGCGTTTTTTCTTATATGATACATTATTATGTAAGACCAAAATCAATACTTACGTCGAGTTCCACTTCATATTTGTTGATATTGTCTGTTGCTGTGTTTAGTTTCTCTAGCTCAACCTGGAAAAGTATGCAAAAGCAAACTGTCACTATGTATTGCGGGTTTCCGGTGTGCTTTACAAGTACATAATATACAAAAGTATGTGTGTGTAGGTGAATAATGTAATAACACGAGATTTCTTATTTAAAAAGAGTTATTAGAGGCCGAGCGGTCTAAATATATAAGTACATTAATGTTTTTTATGCTTAAATAAATACATATATTATATATATTAAGTACATGCACATATACAACTATATATTTATATATATGTATTAGTGCGCCTCAAGCACCTGTGTGGGTGTTGGCTCGTTGCATATCCTTTAATCATATACATAAAGGTGGATAAGGTGTGAAAAAGTTTCGCAATCAATTAACTGGTTGCGCAGTGAGTATTTTATATATACATAGGTATGAGTATGTATAAGTATGTATAAAGTTGTATTTCAAGCAGTTCTTCTACTTGTTTTTATAATTTGTAGGCAAATGACATCATTAACATCGGACAAGCATAACGGAATTAACATGAAAAGACAGTTTTTAGCAAATCAACTATGCCGAAAATAGGACAAATATATGTGAATGCATACATATAGTAAATATATGGTATAAATATTTATATATGTATATACAAGCCTACATATGCTTAAAGAGTTATGTTAATGTTCACTTGAATAGCGTCATAAAGCTACGGTAGATGTGATATTCATTGACGTTTATGCTTTAATATGTGTCTCTATGTGTATGTATGTATGTATTGTATTATATATGCTACATACACACAAATATAATAAACTTGGCACATCTGTACTAACTAGCAAGTAAGTAAAAGTAAACAAACATATTCTATGCTGGCATTATGACTTAGATTAAAGCATATGTATGTTTGCTTGTATGAACGTATGTGCACGTATGCCATGTAAGAGCAGTCATACACTGCCTACATACATACATGCATACACACATATCTACAAATGTACACGCTTATTATTTATTTTCCTTTCCATCACGGGTCATTGTCAGATAAGACAATTTCCGTTTATGACCATCAAAATCTCGCGCAAATGCATTTCAAGGGAATTGAACAAATTACAATGCTTAACAATTCATTTTTATGTGCGTTCGCATTAATTTTACTTGGTTGGCGTGCTGTGAGGATACTTGCCTGCACTCTGGGATCCACCGGGGTATTGCTTTCCATTGACATAGCGTTATCGATTAATTTATTTGAATGCTTTGCGGCTATTGCTTCTGCTTTGCTTGCGTTTTTCTGCACAATGCACACTGTATACACACTTATATTCTATATATATATATATATATACTACATATGATTTTTAAATAAATTTGTATGCTAAAAAATTTATTATAATATATATTTTCTTTTTGCTAAATACTTTTGCGATTTCTAGGTTAAGCGCATATACCGATTACATACAACTATACACAACTTTGTTAGCAATTTCATGCAGAAACGAGACAATTGCTTGATATCTTTTTTTATTTGGCTCACACGCGCTTGCAATTATTAAAAATATTTTCTTTTCTTTTCACCAAATTCTTTTTTTTTTCAATTATTCAACACATTTTCTTGCTTTCTTCGATGCTGCTGCTTCTTGTTCGCAAGGCTTGCTAAATTTTTCTTTTATTATTTTTGCGTCACTTTGATGTTTTCAGCGAATTATGCATTTTTATTTTCACTGCTAGCTGGCTGCCTGACGGTCCTCTTGTCATGACATTGTCTGCCGCTCGCGTCCGATTTTCACCACACACTGCCAGTTGCTAGCGAGTGTTACCTTAATTTTGCTGGCCTTTTTCCACGCAACTCATCAACTCTTCATTTTCGTTGTCGTCGTTATGGCTGTGGTTCTCGCCTGCTTGCTGTCTAACTGGCTGGCTCAGTGGTGGTGTGTGTGTTACCAGTTCAAAAGCTTACACTACGCTTTACTGTTATTTAACCCGCCGTGAAAATGCCATGACTCGCTGCTAAGAAATCTTGGCAATCAGCTGAACCCCAAATATCAATCTCAGCGCAATGTGCGTGTTAATTGTTCAATACTCTCTCACAGCCGCTCACTCTCTGCCCCAAAAACTTTGTTTAACTATTGTTGTTGTCAGTGTTGGTTGTTTGGAAAATGCTAGTAGCTTTATTGGTAGCTTTTTTGTGAATTATCTTGGAGCGCTGGCAGCTAGCGCGCACTCAGTTCAGTGCTGAGCGCTGCGCTCTCTGCCATTCACTTGTCTTGTTATGTCATACACGCACAGGTGACAGTTGGCGTGTCTATTGTTTATGTTTTTGTTTGTTCACTTGTCAGCAAATCTTGGGATATTTATCGTTTCGTTGGGATTTTCTTAAGACGATTTATGTGTTCAAAAATATTTGTGGTAGTGTACGAATGGAAAAATGTTGTTAAAATAGGTTTTAGTAATATAGTAGAGGAAATTTCAAAATAAAAAAATATATATTGAAAAAATAATATGTGTGTAAATATGTGTGTATAATATTTATATGTTTTATGCATGACAGTAAAGGAAGTATGACTAAGCGCCTAAAAGTATACTATGTGCATTCAAACTGTTTTTTAAACGGCGTTTTAGTATGTCAATCTGAAAACACTTCACCAGCATGAGAATTCAATTTGAAATCAAAATAAAAAGTCAAAATTTTAGCTGACTTAAATTTCTTTACTCGCCGAAATTCTTGTCATTCTCAACAAACGAAGGATGGTGTGTTTTATTTTTGAGTTTATTTGGCCTTTTCACCTACATGTTTGTGTTCCTGAACTGCGAATAACTATTGTTTGTGGCACAACTCTGCCGAATTGGGAGATTTTAACATTGACTGACATCAGAAAAAGAGAGTTGCATATATCCGCCTAAAATTATGCACAAAATATTAAATATGTATGTATTTTAAAGTCCATCGCTTGTCTCTTATATTCTGTAATGTTCAAATTTTAATTATATAACAAATATGATATACTCCTAGCCCTTGAGAGTAGAAATTAAAATTTGTAGGTCTTACAATATTATAAATTTTTTTGAAGTCTAGTTTTTGGCTAGAAGTGTGCCTTTATTTGGGTCGCCACAAATTGTATATAAGAACTTTAAATTGACAAACAACTTGGTTGACTTTGTTTCTAGAGATCAAAAAATGTTTTAATGTTCCTACATTCTTATATTTAGGATTACCCCGATTGTTAACCATAAGATTCTCATGGGCTCTGAGTATTACCTTTTCTTTAAATTAGATTCTAATAATACTTTTCTTAAAGTTTGCCGGCAGTCTAGACTTTGTCTAAAGAAATTCCCCACTTTGACAGTATAACTGTACTAAAAATCATGCGCACACCGTTACACACCCACACTAGAGAAGATTAATATGGACATAATTACTTAAGAATGAAAACAAAACTCACACGCATGAAATGGCCAAAGCCCAAACAACACACACACACATGTAGACTTGGGGAAACTGGCTAACGCATTGGAAAAGAGCGCGTTCAAAACAACACACACAAACACAGGACATAGAGCACGACAGCACTGCGGGCAACAAACAAACACGAGCCACTCGCTGCAGCAGTTAGAGCAGTCAAAGGCAAAGCGGGAGCATGTTTTACTAAGAGCGCCAAACAAAAAAGAAGCGCCTCTCTCGCCGCCTGCCAAACGCTGCTATTGGGGGCATATGCCGCTATGAGCACCGACGAGTACTGACTGTTGTTGTTTTGGGGAACAACAGTTTCATTCATGAGTCGGTGGGTCCCGTGAGAATGCAGCGTGATAGCACAGCGAGTACTAAAAAATTGTACTTGCAGCGATTGTGAGCAACCAATGACAGCGGTGGCAGCACGCCGCAGCAGCAGCAACAGCGCCTTTTTATGAGGGTAGCGTGCAGAGTGCGAACAGTCTTCATTTTCAACTCGTCGTCAACGTGTGTGAGCGCGGAAAACATTAAAAAGCGCGCTGGCAACGCAACGGAAAAGCGTAAAGCACCTTTTTCTCCACACAAGTTTGGTGCAGTGAGGTGTGTGTGCGTGTGCGTGCGCTGTGTGTGTCGTTTACGTTTGATGGACTGTGTTTGTACATACATACATGCATAACTGCGTATGTATATGCAGTTGTTTGCTGGAGCTGTTGGAGAAAAACTCACTTAAACGCTAGTTTAAACAAATGTTTGCTTTAAATTATTTAGTTTAATATTTTTTCCACTTGGCATAGTAAAAAAATTAGCTTTTGTTGTACTTCATGCACTTCTACTTGCTGCTAATTTGTTGCGTATAGCTTGCTGTGTTCTCCCTGTTTTTTTTCTGTTATTGTTTTTTACGCTTTAATTCGGTTTTGGTGCTTCATTCTGGGTGTTCAAGTCCACAGCGAGTGACGTAGATGTATGTTTGTGCGTGTGCGCTTGTATGGGTGTGCCTGCAAAGGTGTCTACAAATGTGTTGTGTGCTTCAACGCGGCGCTTGGTGTGCATTTGAGACGCGCAACTTGCACAAAAAAAGGTCAAAACTTGTGATAACAATTCACTTTGCAATTATGACGAATATACAGTTACAAAAGAATTGTTAGTTTATTCAAATGCGCGTTGTTTAGCATCCTCTGTGTGTAAAGTGTGATATGTGAAGTTGCAAAATAGCAAAAAACTACGTATGTGTTTGTGTGTGGCACACTGTAAAAAGTAAAAATGCCAATGTAAAATCGAAGAAATATAAATAATCTTAAGGCTAAATTAAGAAACACGAAAAAATCAATAGCAACACAAATAGATGTCTGCAAAAAAGCAAACTGATATGCAGCGTTGGGTGTAATGAAACCCAGTATTGAATTTATTTGATTTGAAGAACGCAGAGTCTCCAGCTGAGCAGCGTGGAAATTGTTAGATAATCGCGAATAAATTTGGTGGGTGGCGAGCAACTTACAAACAAATGTGCTAAAAATTGCAAAGCAAACAGTAGAATAGAGTAAAAAAATAAAATAAAAATCATAAGTCAAAAATGCCATGAGTAACATACGTATGTATGTATGTAAAAAACAGTGAGTGCAAAAACTAAAAAAAGTATAACGAAAATGCTATTAGAATTGTGTGAAAAAATGTATGAGCTAAACGTGATAAACGCTTACAGCTACACATATTGCATATCCTACGTACATATTAACAGCACATAAATAAATATAAAACAAGAAAAATTGTAAACTTCGGTTGCACCGATGCTATAATACCCTACACAAATATAAAAGTTTTCCATACAAGAACTCGATTTCGATCGCTCAGTTTGTACGCCAGCTATATGCTGTAGTGGTTCGATAACGGCAGTTGCAACAAATGAGCAGCATCTTAGGCAGAAAGGACAAAATCTTAGATCCTTAACTTAAAAACTAAGAAATAATTGGCGTATATATAGACAGGCAAACGAATAGACAGACGGACATGGCTAAATCGACTCAGCTCATTATGCTGATCATTTATATACATATAAGTATATACTTTATAGGGTCTCCGACGTTTCCTTTTGCGTGTTACAAATTAATATATTCTGTTGGCAAACTTAATATATTCTGTTCAGGGTATAACAAGTTAAATGTTGTAAAAAAAATCAAAACTAAAGCAACAATGCACAAATGCAACGCCACTCGTGTCTACAACAAAAGCCGCACTGAAATAAAAGTTAAAACAGAAAACATAAAAACAAACATAAAATACATTTAACAAACTACAAGCGTACGCTCAAAAATTAATTAAGCCGCTTATGCAGCAATGAAAAAACACAACAACCAAAACCATAACAATAAAATAGCTTTTATTTTTATTTATTTCTGTGCATGTGGAGTTCTTGGAATCAGAGTAATAAAACAGAAACAGTCTAACAAACTCGGTTTTTAATACAAGTACTACAAAAACAGTATCTGCAGCTTGGCGCTTACAAAGACCGACCTCGTGAATGTGCGATACGATTATTGTTTGTTTGTGTCTCAATGCTCGTACGTGGCCATCGACATTTGGAACATTCCTGTTGTGGGCTTCTTCTTTTGTCCCCACAGAGACACACGTTGCGCTTTGCACTTGAAGAGTAATCGTGTTTGCTTGTTTGTTTGCGTCGAAGCTCGCTGGAGACAGAAGCAGCAGACAAACAGATAAACGATCAAACAAACAGATAGTCTATTTAAAGGCAGGGGGACCGTTTGCGAACTTTCGTAATGCATAGGCAAACAGCGAGACGGAATGCGGTTGTGGTGCAGTGCATATATTTATATATATTTCAATCAAATCCAAACAATCGTTTTCTACTATTAGTAAACGGTTTCGACATCTTTTCAGACGAATAAAAAAAGGGTCTACAAATAAGCTGCCTCTGCAAGACTGATTGATTTTATTGGAAGCTTTCTCATTACAGAAATGTATTCCATAGTTTGTAATTGTTTGCCGAGGAGTGATCCCCGTTACAAAACCCTTTTTTTGTGTTTGTCGAAAACTCGTAAGTTCTAAGTAAGTTCGTGGCAAAAGTAATACACAAATGTAGCCCATAGATATAAATAGATGTTGTTAGAGGGCATTTTGATTTGGCATTACATTATTGATTTTCTTTTCAAAATATTTAAGTTTTGTGGAAAAGGGTTCTCCCAAAATGTTTAGAAATTTTTTGTCGTTTGGCACGCTCTAGAAGAACATTGTTGTTGAGAGTTCTAAGAATAGTTAACTCGAATGATAGCAATTTCATGAAATCAATAATATATATCAATTATTGTTATTTTTTAATTCTACCGAAGATCTCTAGACATTTTTTATATAGGGATGGCATAACAACAAAACGACTGATCGATTATTATGGTAACAATTGCTTAGGTCAGATATTCGTTGCTAAAAACTAATTTTGTTAAAAAAATTTAAGCTCAATGTTTTGAATTGGAAAGCTAAGATCACAACCGTTTTGCATGAAAACAACTTTTGATTATAGTTTCATTTCCTTATAGGCATAAAGTTGTTGAAGAAAGTAAACTAAAAACATAGTCAGTAATAGTAAAAAGGATCAGACGAAAACGTAGTATGCGTCGAACGAGCTAGTGTCATTTTATAAAAACGATGCACCAAATACAATTTGCAAAATTTTTTTGCAACGAAAACTCATGTAAATGACCCACAGTGCAATTGCTGCTCCTCATAACCAAATGTTACTCATCAAGCGAACATCTTCAACGGATTGTCGTGCTATATATTCTCCATTTACTTCCTTTTACTGCTTCTTATTTCTTTTGTTGTCATTCACACAATCGTCTGTTTATATGTATGTATGTATGTACGAGCTTGCCCTGGCTTCTGCAAAGTTTTATTACGACGGTAAAGCAACTTCCACGTAAATGCAGATATGCAAACACACACATAATTCTACATGCTTTGTGCCTTTTATACACAAAACTTATTGACAAACAAACAAACATACATACATACAATTGTAAATATGTATATACTACCCTACGTATGTGCTCGAAAATATTTATTTATACTCGTATTTGCACAAATGTTGGTTGGTACCTTTGCGCGCTGCCTTTCTGGCTTTTTTTTTTTAGCCTTTCTGGCTTTTCGAAGTTGCGCATTTCACGTTTTCTGCACTTGTGTGTATTTGAACTGCTCCACCTTACCCCTGGGCACAGCTGCTGCCACAATATTTTTTTTTTTTGTTTTCTGTGTTTTTTGGCCAACAGCCGTACATTAGTTGTTGTTTTTGTTATCGTTGTCAGCTCTAAACGATTCGCTGGCTAGCTATTATGGCTTGTCGGACTCTCGGCATGTTCTTCTTTCCACTTTATATACATATGAATGTACTACATCCACTCAATTATGCTTTCCGCTCAGCGCCATTTCCGACCTTTTCGCTATTACGTGAAATTTTACGCATTCTCACGGTTTCTTCCAGCCAAGCGAATGTTCACATTTCCAATTTGTGTGTTTGTCCAACTGAAAAAGGCTTGACTCGGACAAAGTCGCTTTGGTGGGCCTTCACGTGCTTGATTGTTGCAAGATAATAATAATAATGTGGCGCTTAAGTTCTTCATGAGAGTTTGACCCGGCTTGTCTCTAAAATTCGCAGCAGTAAAGTCAATCATAGTGTAGATATTACTTGAAAAAACGTATTCTACAATTTTCTACTTTGCCTAGCCTGTGACATGAACCAGAGATCCATCGTTTCACAACAGTTTTGCTTTTATAACCTTTGAAGATGTTGATAAAAGGTCTATAATTCGAAAACTCAAGTTTTACGATATCAAAATTATCGCTTTGGATACGCACCTAGAACCCTACGCTTAGTAGTCACGCACTAAATTTACATCCGAACGGCGTGCACCTGCACCTCATGCCGCCGAAAACGACACACTAGCAAAATATTTTGACATTTGTAAGCGAATGTCAGTTGAGCATTTGCGCCGGCTCCCAACAGCTTACGCCAAGCTGAAGCAATTCCCATAATTCACTTGCCCCAAACTGGCTACAAATCTATCGACAGCGTCTTCATTCTTATTTTTCTAATTTATATTTGTTGTTGTTATTATTTGTATAAATGTGCGAAATTACTGCTGTGCTGCTGAAGAAAAGCAACTCAAGCGTCTGTGACCGGCTTTCCAGACACATTCTCGCTGCATGCTCTTGAGCTGGTAGATAACATACTTACATACATATCTACATTTACCGGTATCCTACCGTATCTTTTAGATACATCGCTGATGACATTTTAACAATTTACTTATGCTTTATTTGATTACTTTTGCTTCACAATTCAAACATTCGTTGCACACACATATAAATGCGTATGTATGTATGTATGATTGTATTTGTAATATATATGTATGTATGTATTTAGCGCATAGCACGAAGTCAATTCGTCTTTTGCAAGCTCAACATTTTGTGCATGGCAAATGTCTGTCCGTCGCTGGTGTCTGCACGTTGCAAATACACACAGATATCTAGTATATATATAGATAATATATATAGTATAAGTATATGTATGCATCACTTCGTATTTGTTATGTGTCTGCCATCTTTGCAGCTTCTCACGTTTTGTTTTCCTGTCTACATACCTACATACAAACGTCTTTCTCATGCAATATTCTTCTGCTTCTTCCTCTTCTCCTTTTTCTTTCTCACTCACTTTACAGCTCCACAAGCGACTCTGTTCTAGTTGCAATCGTATAATACTAGTAATAATAAGGAGCTTCTCTTCGAGTAAAATATAGAAAAAATAACGAAAATCGTCGAATTGTGTAGAAAAATATTATATACCAACATACACACATGCATACATGCGAGTATATAACACGTTAATAAAAAGTGTAAAAAAAGTAGAGTAAATATATCACAACAAAAAGTCTATGTAAATGAGTGATGTGAAGTAAACAAAATTGAAATTTTCAACAATATATAACAAAACGAAAAAAACCACAACAACAACAAAAATAAATAACAACAACATATAAGTGTTTGAGAAAATTGATACAGAATTGTTGTCTGATAGCCTCAGTGTACATACATACAAACATATGTATAAATATCACCAGTCGACTGGGAGTTGCACTCGTTGTGCTACTTCGTCTGCTACAAATTAAATTGTCTCCTAGGCGACGCTGTTGCATAGATTTCCGCCAGCGTTTTGTGAAAGGTAAGTGATAAAATAATCATAAATCTTTGCAAGTTTCTAGCGTCTCAAGCACTTACCAGCATAAACTGATACACATTTTTACGTAAATATATTTATACAATAGTAAATATGTATGTATATATGTGTGCATGTAAAAAGTTAAGTGAATAGTGACTGATTGTCGTGTCGTTATCAAAAAGCTGCGCACTTGAAAGAGATTATTTTTATGCATAATAATATCACAATACAAATGTGAAGTGAATAATATTTAGTATATGATTTTGAACGGCGAATCATAAATTATACGTTGCCCCGAAGTGGCAGTTATTGTTTAGGTGTTGAACTCAATCCATTTCAGTTACTGTATGTTATCAAAAATAAACGCCGAAATTGAACAAAACAAGACAAAAAACTAACTTCGGCTGCACCGAAGCTATAATACTCTTCATAGCTGCATTTCTAATAGCATAACACGTGGGCTGACCGGATCTAACAAAGAAAACACGGTTTATTTTTATTCAAAATTTACTTTATTCATCAATATAATCATTCCAGCGCCTCTCACCTTTCAATACCATTTTTGTAGAACAATTTGTCTTTTGCCTCAAAATAACCTCTTCATGCGTAAAAAGTCCGTTTTGTTACGTTTGAACATGGCCAAACATGGCTCAGAATCATCGACACGTTGGTGTTTTTGGTCAACAGTCAGCATCCACTTTGAACAGAGCTTTCTTATGGACAAATGCGCATGCAATATAAAGCTAACACGTTCTTTTGAAACTCTAACGATGTCAACTATATCACGCAGCTTCACTTTCCGATCATTCAGAATGTTTTTGTGGATTTTTTTATATTTTCTGTAGACCGATACTTTATTGAGTCTCCGAAGTATTCTTCTGTGTGTTATAAACTTCGTGGCAAATTTAAAAACCCTGTTCAGGGTATAAGAAACGCTGAAAGCGAAAATATATGGATAATATTTATAAAAATGAATACGGACAACTCTTGTCTTTAGAAATCAACAATTTCATATGAAATATATTTCCAGGTATTTTAACCCTATATCGGGCATTTTGACCCTTTTCGGAAAGCTCTTTAAAATTCAATTATACAGAAAAATATCAAATGTTAAAGTCAACAACCAGAATCTATTTCCAACACGAAAATATTCTTGCGCTAGACATACTATTTCAGAAAGCATTTCTTGCCAAAGTCTAGTCAGCAATATCCATTCTGGTACAACTGGCGTCAAACTTTTAAAAGTTAGGTGAAAAGTTGGCCTCGAAACTCACTTAAAGTTTTTAAGCGTAACACAATAATCTCCTAATATTCATTCTTAATATACTATACATATACTTGTTTATTCGTTTATACAAACATAGGTCTTAGGTACTTAAATTCAAATCGGTAACATATCTTATAAGTAACATTTTCATTTCAAAAATAAATTTTGAAATTGTTTACGGAGGGGTAATTGCTATTCAAAAACTCGTTTTTATGTTGGTCGAAAACTAGGGTCAAAGCTAAACCCGGTGGCCGCCGACTAATAGTGCTCCAAAATCAGTTTTAAAGTCTCAACTTGTCGGCTTTAACTTCGCTATAAATTATTCTGTTTTCGTCACTGGTAATACATCGCGGTGGAGATACCATATGTCTTATGTTGGATGTACGATTTCGACGAAAGTAAAATTTTAGATTAAAGTTCAGTTGCTTTTTATGGTTGTATAATGGCATATATCGTTAATGAAAACTGAGTATATGATCATGATCAGAACTTATTGTGTAGTAATAATGTAAACAGCGGGATGAACAGGATACCGTGTTGTACTTGATACATTCATTATTCTCTGCTGTCAAAGACCTGCATCTTACTTTCACTTGTTAAAACGTGCCATTTATTTCTCAAGAAAACTTTCAATAGTTCCTGTTGCTTCAGCAATAACTCAATTTAATCTACCAAATGAGACAATAAAAGAGTCCGTTTAACACATATAAATGAATTTCGATATGACGCAACCTTACGCAAAGCGCAGCGACCCAAAGCCAACGCGAAACAAGAGCTCAGCTGTGACAGCGTAACTGGGGTAAAGTTACCCCAATGTGAATTCAATAAAAACAGCTGCGGCTTCGGGAAAGTTCGTAGTAAAACGTAGTAAACGTAATGGTTAGTGAACCACTTGCAAATCGTATTTAAATTATTGTGCATTTTTTTGCACCACCTTGAGCTTGAAGGGTAACCGAAAACATGTTGAAGCCACTATGTAAGGTTAGTGGTTAGAAAAGTTTAAAAGCAACAGGGTAATTCGCTCATTAAGGGTGCACAAGCGTTTACCCTTATTTTTCGTGTGATTGTGAATTAGTCTTACACTTTTGTTCAAAAGGGACTGAGTGGTTTACTGGTATTTTGAACAACCCTCGATAGTTATGTGTACTGAAGGGTTGTTATGGGCTTAAAAACAGTTCGTAAAACCTTTCAAAAATCGAACGATTGTGTGTTATTTGTCAGGAAAAATTTGTTTTGATTAGCTATTAACTTCGTCCGAGTTAAAATAGTGAACCCCAATTAGATATTTTTATGTAAATAATTTTTTATTAAATGCATATCTTCATTTCGCAAATAGTTTGGTTAGGTCAGACAACTTGAGAATAGCATTAGGTTCAATGAATATGTTGTTTCTTCAAAGGATACAAAGTCGTTACGATATCCACGAATCGTTTTATTCTTTAAAGCAGGTGATATATGCTCCAAATAATTTTAGGAATTAAAGTGACAGTCCTGACATAAACCAGGGTCCTTTCCAGTAAAATCCATCAGGACAACAGAAAAAAGTTTTACATTTCCTATGCTGGCTTAGGAAGTTTTAAGATCGGTTCGTATATTTTGCATTTCAGTAGCCGTGCTTCGATTTAAAACTTTTCTATTGTTTGGAGTTTGTATCTATTCTATATAATGTATGTTACATAAAACTTCAGACCTTCTATAAAACGGATGAGCTGGAGGCTCTATATAAAATATTCCAGGATTAAATCGTAGTGCGATCCTCAGATGTTACAAGTTAAAAACTTGATTATTAGACTAAGCTATAAATAAGTTCTTAGTTTAGACTAGAAATTTAAAAAAATATTTTTTGTATTGAAGAAATGAACAGACCCAACGTCAGACCACGTCTTCGGTAATGTTGAAACTGGTACTTAAGACTAAGTGAAAAAACAAGTAATAGAATGGTTTACTTCTTGAGTTATATATGTTATGGTAGGTTGGTTTGAGAGACTATACCATAAGTACTTCTTTTCATATGAGAAGAGGTTCCCAAACTGTCGGTTAGTTTTTCTGAGATGAAAAGAAAATACTTAAGGTATTGTTGTACTACATATTTTATGGTTTAGTTTTTTATAATATCTTCTCGAAATTTGGCATTGGTTATTAACAAAGCCAATGGTATAATGTCGAAATAAATTGTTCAGATTGGATTCATATATTATCATATAGCAGGCCTAAAAACAGACCGGTCAAAATCAACATAAAGATATTTTTAAAACTTTGCACCTGTGAAGCGTATTATGGATTCGATGTGACCGTAGCTGCAACTTTGTCTTGTTTTTCTTTTTTATAAAATTTTTCTTTGAAAATTGTTAAACTTTTATTAGTGTATATTTTCAAAGAAGGAAGATTAAGAGTATAAAAGTACACACTTTTTTCTATGTAAAAAGTTTTCATATGTTGTACAAATATTGTATACTTATGTTACATACACACTTAGATATGAGTGTGAGTATCAACCAAAAAATATGTTGTATATTCTACTGCCTTTCCTTCCTCCATGCCAAAGTTATGTTCCTTCCTGCTAATAATACAGTTTGTTTTATTGTTTTTTGTCGAAAACATGTAGAAATGGTAGAAAGTGCGCTCTTCACAAATATTTAAAAGGCAGCGGAAGTAACTAAAACCATAGCAATTTTGCCAACACAACAAAAGCAACAACGAGTGCTTTAGCTTGCGCCATTTAGTATTTTACTGGTGTACCGTTTTTCCACACAATGCATCCTTTGTTGTTTATTCAGGCCACTGGCAAAGTGGCGAACTTGAAAAATCTTCTGCCTCGGCCATTACCGTTAGTTATTGGCTGGCGCAAAAATCGATAAAACAGCAACAGCAGCCGGCTGGCTGGGCCATCCGGGAAACTATGAGTGCCTATGGTACGTCAGTACATAAGTACATACATATGTAGTTATATATGTATTACTCTGTATTAAACCCCATATGTGCTCATGAAATATGTACAAATAATCGCTTAACTGGATCGTTCGAAATGTGCCTTATTGTTTTTATTTTACTTGTTATTTGTGCTTTTCATCAAAAACTGCTGATCTATTACATTGCGATAGGGGTTTTGGTTATAAAATAAAGCGGCTTTGTTATATTCAATTTCCTATTCGGAATAGCAGGAGGAGGATGGTGTGAAATTTGTGGCTCCATTTTGGTTATATAATATTGCACGAATGTTATGTTCTTTATTTTTGTTTTAAGCTCAGTGTTTATTGCCCTCAAATGTGGAGTCATTGACAGACTTTCTTATTTATAAAGACTTTTGAAATATTATGATGTCGACGCTGTCACTCAAATTTTATTTTTAAATTATTGCTTGACAGTAGACCATTATCAAATGTTATACTTGACAGTATAACTTTCCTATTTGCTTGAACGTTATCATAAATGTTTAGACAGTTTTCAAACTCAATTTACTTTTTTGGATCTGGTCGATACTTCACTCCCACTTCAGGAAATATCTGCAAACACAATCATATTTGGAAACATCTTCGAATGGCTGATGGAACCAGGTAACATAACCGAAACTAACATTAGCCGCCTATACAAATTTGTGATCGGCGTCAAGCGCTTTGTCGATTTATAAGTGTCTTTAATAAGAAGTTTATAGAAGTTTTAGATACCACAACGGACCGGCGTTATAAGCGATCCAAGTGAAATTCCAATTAGGATCGACCATTTAATCTAACCTAAC